CTTATGCTGGTCTTAGAAAGGGGATCACTTGAGCAAACTCAACAAAAATCATGTCAAGACTCAAAACAGGATATCACAGGTATGAAAGTGGGGCCTGACCTAAATCACAATGGAATAGAAGGCAATACTACCCCAGGACCGGACCCAAATTGTACTGGGACAAGCACCGCCGCCATGACGGAGGCCGAAAGAAGTCTTCTCCAGGCAGAGGCTCGCCGATTGGCAACTGGGTGTCAGCGGGCCACACGTGTAGGTTGGGCTCCTGATGAAGCCCTACGCTCTTTATCTAACAGCTTCAGTGCCCTGGTTCAGTTGTCTGCAGCCTGCCTACGAACAAATCCCTGCCCTGGTTGTGAAATCTGCCATAATGCAAGTCTGGTCCACGGGGATGAGGACGATGACAGCCAGGAGGCCATGGACAAGCTGAAGGAGATAGTGAGTCTGTACCGAGAGTTTGTTGGGGCTGTTGAGACAGCTGGAACGGGTGTCGGGGTTGGGGGTAAAAGTGTGGGCCTCACTGGATCTGGACAGGGTCAGGGGGAGAGTGAAGGGGTCAGGCTTCTAGCCAAACGCTGCACTGTGCTCATCTCCTCCGTTTTTGCACTCACACAGCTCTTTCGGACACGCACACCAGACACCGCAGACACGCCTGGCCACGTACCTCTCAACTTTTGACCTGTGAACTTTACCCACTAGTAACCCACTGACTCTAGAGGTGAGACAAGAGGAAACAGCACAGCGCGATCTGGTGTGTAACCCCTGTGTTGTTGTAGTGCCATGCACACCACTGCACACAAACTTTAACCCACATTGCATATACCCACATGGAAAAAACATACACCAAACAAACCCTAAATGAAAAGAGGAACTTCATTGCTTGGCCTCTTCGTGGACGCATATGGACTATGCATTTGTACATATGAATTTTATAATTATCTTATAATTCTCTTATTTTATGATACAATATGTGTATGTATGTAAGGATGGATTACCCATGTATGTATTTATGTATTTATTTTTACAATATTTGCACCACGGTCTTTGATGTGCAGGTCTCTGGTGGGGAAAAAAAAACTATGGATGTCACTGGAATTCTTATTTTTCCTTCTCTTTGAGACAGTATTATGTTATCTATTGCTGCTTTAAATAATTCTCAACTCCACAAGGTGTAATCTGTAAATTGTCATTTTTCAAGTTTAGTATAACAGTACGTTTTACTGACAAAATACAGAAACTATACTTTATCACACATACAAAGTACAGTTATTAACTGATTTGTTTTATATGTGCACCTTTTTAAGGATTTAGTTTTTCAAAATTACAGTTACATATAAATGGGGAACAAACTGATACCATGACAAAAGCAGGGAGAGCACTTTCGACTGTTACAGATTGCACCTTTTTATGAGACACATACCCTTGTGTAAAGTGTTTTTTCTACCCTTTCCCTAGTCCTGACTGACTCTAAGTAAATGCCTCTTGGAAATACTCCCATTACCCACAAACGTATGCAGTAATACAACATTAATCTAGTTTTCATCCTAAGTACGTTACATATATATTTTCTGGGAATGTGTGGATGAGGCCCAGGAAGTAAAACAGGGGACCTTTTTTATGTTCGTTGAAAAAAAGATTTTTGACTCAGCACAAGGGTGACTGTTAAACTATGTCCACATGTAGCAAAGATCCAAAGTATTCCAACACTGAGCCACAACTGTTCCCCACTATGGTTTCTCTCTTTGGCCGCACCACATTAAAAATATCATACTGACTGACAGATGGACTGACTGCTGTGTGCTGGGGTCAGAACTGTAGATATACATTTATATCTTTGTGTCATAGTCTGTCTTGACCTTAGTTTATGGCTATGCAAACATAAACTCATGCCCCACATACTGTATCCTTGTTTTTGTGCTAACATTAAAAACAACAATAGCTGCATTATGTTTGTCTGAATATAATGGGTGCTTTCTTTGTTTGGAATGTTGGCTTCTGTCTTGTTTCGGGAAAACTTACTGCATTATGTATTGCAACATTGTGCAAAGTTGCATGGCATTAGCATTTGTCAATATAAAGACTCCTGTCTATACTGATGTTTGTGAATTGTCAGTAAAAGGATTACATTGCTCGATCAGTTTGCTGAGCTTAAACAGCTCGTCCACCTCACATGATGCCAACTCGTTTGATGAGCCATCTGCTTTGGAGGATTTGCTTGAGCCACCTATGACAACAAGAGGGTAATTACTTTCTTATACAAATATGATAAGGGGATTAGCCGAAATCAAGACTGCTTAAGTATTTAGAGAGAGCCGGTGAGGACGTAGGTAGTATATTTAATCTTCCAACTAGATGGCACAGAATTTTGTCAAGGTGGCTATGCTTGAAAAGTAAGAACGCAGGTCTCTTGTGGGGGATTTCAGAGCTTCCAATTCCTATGGAGGTCCACTAGCAGGGTCCATCATAGCACTAACATGAAGATGTACTGTATGTCCTAGGAGCATCTCTAGTTGTTCATCAAGCAGGCTCAAACAGTGAAGAGTGCCCATGTCACCTACGTGTTTTGTTTCTGTACGGTAAAACTGTATCAACAGCGTTTCATTTTCAAAGAGGACATTGCGTTTCTACATGAGCAGTCACTTTTCCGTACACACGTACAATGAAGTCGATGTACCAAGAAATGTATTGTTTGGTAATAAATTACACATTGACCTGAACAATGTTGAACGTCTTGGTGTTTGGGTTTTGTCTTTAGGCCAGTTATCAACAAAAGTCAATGGAACAACTTTCAGTTCATGCAAGCTCCTTGCCTAAGTATTGAGTCTACAATTCATTTCAGAAGACATTCAATTTACCATTCTAGCATTGAACCCTGAGCTGAACATTTCAACAACAGCAGATAGAATGAAGTTATACCGTGGCAGTCTAAACAGCTCTCTATTTATAACAACACTGCACTAATAATACTGTTAGAGGATTACTTTGGGATTCATTTCCCAGTATTGAGTTGGTATACTTCCATGAAGGCAGTATTTATCTGTGCATGTAGCACTGGAGCGTGCTTTCTCTCTTTTGGTGCTGAGAATGCATCCAAAATATTCACAGATAGCCAGCTGAGACAGAGAGTAACATCTCCCCTCCCATTGTTAAAATGCATTCCTAAATAATGCTAAATGAATGATGAATTTAAGATTTTCTAATATAAGATGATAGTCAGACAGACAGGTGTTAGGGTGAAAGAGTTGAGAGGCTTTGTAGCCACAGTAGCTCAACCCTCCCTGATCCAAAGTCCCCATGTCAGATTGCCCTTAATCTGATCACTATCTGCAGTCTGACTTCTTGACATAGTAATCTAGAAAGTCGCACATGTAAAAAAACAACAAAAAAAAAAACAGTCTGAGAGTGTGGGGCTGCTGTGAGAGACATTTTCATGATCGAACGTGTAACAGAAACAGCAGATAGTGGTGTTAAACTACCATCTACTTGAGTGTTTGCTCCATCCCTCATTGTGATCCAGTGTTATGTCTGTAATACATCTTTGTAACAGTGATGATGTGATGATTACGGTGCTTAAATGGACTTATAGCGCTTTCTTTGGTCCTACGACCACTCAAAGTGCTTTCACACTACATTCATCCATTCATACACTGATGGCAGGGGCTACCATCAGATTAAATTGAATTAAGGTTAAGTGTCTTTAACCAACACATTGGGGGATCCTCTGGTTGAAGGACGCCCTGCTCTACCCCTGCGCCACCGTCGCCCATAAAGTATAAGACACAGTTCCATAATGTACGAGTGCCTCTATTACATAAGCAGAAGACAATTTGTCATATCTGTTTGGTGAATGAGGCTTCTTCTTTGAGAAAACATGACAGTTAACACATTTATCAAACTTAGACACACACATAACAGACTTATTCACTGTCAATATGTTTAATAGATTGATTTTGAAACATTTCATTTGTTTGCAATTATTCATTTGACATTTTCTTAGTGATTTGGAGACTTGTGCTTCAGGAAAAGTGGAAATTATGAACAGCATTGATTAATGTAGCGAGGGTGTCCCAATTTCAAATCCAAATTTGATTCTTACTTTGAAAAAGGAAACCCTGGAAGATCTTAAAAAGATGCTCAGGAAACGACACGCGGTGGACAATCAAAATGAAAAGAATTGGAGAAATAGGCCAAGTGATACATTTACATGGCAGCTTGAGCTTTTTGTGCCACTGAATATTACCCTCTGCCCCGGTCTTCTCTCAGCACCATTACTATTCAGTCTCTCTCTCTCTCTCTCTCTCTCTCTCTCTCTCTCTCTCTCTCTCTGTCTCTGTCTCTCTCTCTCTCTCTCTGTCTCTCTCTCTCTCTCTGTCCAGGCAGCATGCCTTTCCTCTTCGGGCTGTCGGACCCAGCGAGAGCTGCTGCGCGGTGACAGTATCTACTCAAGCTTGAAATCTGAGCCCATTATGTCAACAGATGTTACAGACAGAGAGGAGCGCAAGCGTGAGAGAAGGAACGATAAAGTGTGAGTAGAGGGAGAAATACATGTTTAAACCAAGTGACATTAAAGTTCATAACAAGTAAACAAACATTGAGAAGCACTTAGTTGTACAGCAAATGAATGAAGAGCCCAAAAATAAACAAACGCAGCAAAGGCGCAGACAATTAATATCAAAATTATTTTTTTCTTAAATGGCAACGGTATTCTTACAAATAATCTTTAACAAAGACCAAATGTTTTTTATGGGATAATTTGTTGCAACTGAAGTCAACATTAAACATTTATTTTCTCTTTTCCAATAAATGTGTTTTAGTGACATCAATGGGCACTTCTCAAAAAACCCAAATAATACATGCCAGTAGCATTTCATAAAACAAACCATGACAAATAGTGCTGAACATTTCAGCTCCAACTGGCAAAGATGAACCACGTGTTCAAATAGCCTGCGTGTGTCAGCTCGATCATCACCGATACTCATTTCAACAATGTTTTTTAAGTATTAGCCTTCTGATCTCACAAACATAAAGGCCGAATTGGTGGTGATGGAGCATGATGAGAAACAAACCGGCCAACACTCAAGTCAGTACACACTCCTTGAGAATTGAAATAGTCAAAAGTACAAAAGAGTTTCAGTCAAGTGGCAGAATACAGCCTCACAGAGGAAATGCTCTTGGTCAAACGAACAGACGGATGTTGTCTACAAAACACCACAGCACACGGCACGAACGAAGACACAGTTAATCCAGTCAAGTAACGTTTGCTTGAAACTGTGTGGAAAAAAAAAAGCACTGGAGTTCAGTTTGCTCCAAAACTATTTTGTACAGAGAGCAAACAAGGGCATTTCAATTGGACCCTGGCAAACGTTGTGTATAGGCTAAAGCGTGCGTCTCGTTTATAATATTTTGAACAGTAAATAGTCATGACATGTGGGTTATCTCAAACTGACTGTTGGCCCCTGTCAGAAGTGCAATTTCAGCAAGTACATCAGCTTTACTTTATGACTTCCTTTCTCCTCAACAAACCGGCTCCATCACTCCAAGCAGGCTTTTCCCTTTAAATGCTTTCTCTTCCTCTCTAGATCTCCAACCCCCCTCTTACATGAGCTTCAGCAGCAGTTCATAGGTGGCATTGATGATTCCCCAGGAGATGAGTGAGCGGTGGTAGTTGAGGTGGGCCCCTCTGAAGAGCATGGCCACACTGCCGCCCCTTTCTCTCCACACTGTTAGCAGCACCTCCCTGCAAGGCTGGAAGGCTCCGCCTACCTGAGACTGAGCCCGGGACTTAACCACATTTAATGGGTAGAACATGATGCCGAGGCCTGCCCCCAGCACACCCCCACACACAAAATCATTAATCACGTGACCGGACCGGCTAGTGACTTCTGGGAGCTGCTCCTTAATGGGCCCGCGTAGCCCGAAGAAGAGCACGTTGCTCGGGCCATTACGGAGAATTATGGGCACCAGGCCGCGGTAGCACTCTTTGACACCGTACTCGGTCAGAAGTGTCCGGAAGGTGTGGACTGTGTTGTTGAAGCGCCCGTGGTGCCGATGGTCTTGTAGGAGCGTCTGCACACGCTCAAACGGCATCAGGATAGCCTCCGTTGTTCCTGCCAACGCCGCGGCAAAGCTCCGAGTGACCAGCTGCGGCACACCGCTGCCAGCGGCACAGTCTAGTAAGACCCTTGAGAAGTCCTCGTACAGGCCAAACATGATGGCCACCGTAGTGCTCTTCTGGAGCAGTGGGGGCAGCAGGCCCCGGTAGAGATTCCTCAGCCCATCCCTCTGGAGCTGCCGCACCGCCTCAGTGGCCAACACGCCGTGCAGCTGCTGGCGGAACAGCACCTTCTGGATGGGGAAAGTCACCACGATGTTAGTAAACGCTGCAATGGAGCCGCAGACGTAGTGCTTCCCTCGAGTGCCCAGCATGGAACTCAGAGATCCAGCAAGCAGCAGGGAGCGGCCTCCTTTAGCCAGGTCAGGCTGAGGTGTCCGGGATGACTCAGAGTCCATGGTGCTAACAGCCATGGGAGGCTCAGTGTTCCGCAGCCTGTTGCTCCAGCATCACATCAGCACCGCCCTCTGTTGTAAATGATATAGCCTGTGAAAGAAAGAGGACATATCAGACATGCCTATTAATCCTCAATATCTTTTTACAATTATTTGAATGGCTTCTGTATGGAGGGACCGCCGTACACAACATTCACTTTGCTAGAAAAATTACAACAACACTATTGAATTGAACATAACACAATTTCTTGCATATCTGCCAACATGTGAGATATATTGATTGGGGTTTAGATTAAATGGCCCATTCATGCTACATGTAGCCTTAAACAGATTAAACTGCTGCCCCAACTAGCCACCGATAAGGGTTGATACAAAACTTGACAGACTGGAAAAGGTCAGCTTAGTCACGGGGCAGGAGAAGACACAAGGTCTGTTCATTTGATGCAACATATTAAACTTCATCATAAAAGATTTAATCTAGTTTTTCCTCTTTTTGAATTAGAAGCTAGTGGCACAGCCTACCACAAACAATAGTAACAGAAAATCTGCTCAAATGAAAGCGATATCCTCTAAATACCTGAAACACATAAAGCAAGTCATCTAAATATAGACCAAGGAGGCAAGGACATTAGAGGGCACAGCAAGTCAACCAAAATATGACTCCAGAAATACTGACACAGTTTCAGGTCTGTATGACAAACCACACTGCCACATGGCTACTGTAACTGACCTCTGAGAGTTATGTAATTCAGAAGTTCCTCGGGTTTAAAGTACAGTACATTCATTCAAACATTTTAGTTTTGAGGTGTAACTTTAGCTCCATGTTGGAAGACTTTATACAACAAACTACCTCCATGACGTTTCACAGGAAACTACTGAACTATACTGCATTTTATTAAAATTGTATTAGATCAGATTTTAAAAAACAACCACATTATGATATTGATACTTTAACTATATCAACAGATTTGAGCAGATGACGAAATGCACCACTTATGTAATCATCCGATACTTTTTCCATAACTCAATCTTCCGCGAGACACGCCCTCTGTGTAATGCTTCCTGTTAACTGGTTTGTCGTGTCATGCTTGTTGTCCCAGCATGCTCCCTGTCAGACGGACACAATAGGCCTAACATCCCTGAACAGGCCCATACAACAAGAACACGACATTAACCTACTGTATGAATAGCTAGCTAAAAGCAACAACAAGTAAGCGACGGGCTAGCTTTGCGCAATAGCTAGACACCCAACTGCTAGTCTGTTTAGCTAGCTCAACTTAGCTAGAGACTGGGTCTCGTCGGCTGTGGTAGAAACAGTCGATCAGATGTTTATTGTACAGAGAGAACACGAGAACAGGCTCGGATATAACGGCTGTTTGTTACACAGTAACTACATGTAAGCCTAGCACGCTAAGTGTCTAGCATAATCAGAGATGTTGTTGACTGGTTGTAGACTTCGTTGACAGCAACAGGCAACAGATCGGCTCATTAATCAGTCTTTACCTGCCGTTTACGCCAGACGCTGTCCTGTCTCCGGACAGGTTTGAGTGCTGTAGCTTTTTGCAAGGTAACTGGGGCACAGTTGTAGGTCGTGTCTGTAGCCCCAGCAGCAGCAGCAGGTGACCGCAGCAAAACGCATCTGAAGCGCATGCGCACTACTGGAGATCTGAGAGCATATGGATGGGTCTACAGCGGGCTTTTTTTAGAGATTATTTCATCTTTGCTCTATTAGTTAATTGTATTGTACAATAGTGGATATTATCTATGTTGGTGGTGAAATATTTTGATTAAACCCATAAAACGCAAAAACGGACGTTTTTTCCGCGTTGTTTTTGCTCGTCGTAAAGCAGGATGTAGCGACATTTTTACGACTGTGATGTGACGTCATTGTCGTCACGTTAAAGACGGGTGTCGGTAAATAGAGGTTTAGCTTTGACTGGTGATTTCAAAACTGTTTTTTGTCGTTCTTTTTTTTTGTTAATATTCACTGTTTTGTAAATGTATACGAGGTAATTGAATAACAGGACCTGGTCTGTTGAACAATTGCACCAGAGATGTCAGGTGATAGTCAGCTATTTGTTGCTAGCTGTATTCTTACATTTTGCACAGAACAGCTGTCTTTAGCTTAACGCTAACGTTGGCTAACGTTAACTGTTACAGCACATGTCCTCGTGAGACAACTATATGCGTTAAACTGTTTTCTGAACTGCACGTGGGTTCAGTTTTGTCGCCTTCGCGGCCGAAAGCGAGATTCATGAGAAATGTCAGCGCAAAAAGATTGCGAGTTTTTGGTGAAGACAGCCCGGGAGCTGGTCTCTGATGATCCCTGTGCGGCCAAAGCCTGGCTCATAACTGCCAGGACCCTTTACCCTGCAGATTTCAACATACAGGTAACATTACGTATTTGTATCAGCTGATAATAGCATAATAGCACATGCATTTTTGTACCAGTCAGTCGAGCATCATCACGTGTTTGAAGTGTGTGGGTCCTCTGTTATGAGTGCATTGTTGACATCTTTTCACAGTATGAAATGTACATCATTGAACGCAATGCAGAGAGAACAGCTTCCGCAGGGAGACTGCTGTACGACATGTGAGTTACAGTGTAGGATCTAATCTGTGGTACAAGTGTTACTGACTCTGACCTAACGGAAGCTAACTGTTTGTCCATTCTTTAGGTTCATTAACTTTCCAGATCAGCCCATTGTTTGGCGAGAGATCTGTGTCATCACAGCTGCACTCCGCAGTGACTCTCAGGACAAACATGCACAGTTTCTACGAGGTGAGAGGAGCTTAACTTACTCTCAGGAGTGTGACAATGAAGTGTTGGTTTTGAAATCTTAAAGAGTGTCTATCTTTGTGTGTGTGTGTGTGTGTGTGTGTGTGTTTGTCTCCCCCAGGGCTTTTTGAGACACTGCCTGGCCGTGTGCAGTGTGAGATGCTACTGAAAGCCACAGAGCAATGTTTCAACACTTTGGAGAAGGCCGAGATGCTGCTCCTCCTTCTGAAGCGCTTTCCTGAGTCTGTGGTTCAACACGGAGTAAGTAACAATATCATAGCCCTTGTGTGTTGACATTTGAACGTCGACTACATGGAACTATAAACAGTCCCTGCTAACTTTCTGCTGTATGTTTAGGTCAATCTAGGAGAAAAACTATTGGAGGCGGAGGCATCAGAGAATGTGGAGACGCCTGTCAACTGCTTCAGAAAACTTTTTGGTGAGTGAAACACTCTCAATAAAACTTGCTTTTCATAGGCAATGACTTTCAGACTAATTATTTCTTATTATTACAGTGTGTGATGTCCTCCCGTTGGTCATAAACAACATGGACATGCGCTTACCGGCCAGCCTGATGCAGAAGTACATGCTGAAAGCAGCTGAATTCTACATCGGCTATGTTACCCGTGGACCCTCTCCTGATGTACAGACACATGGTAAAGCAGCACTGTGTTCATGTTGCTCTTAGTGCTAACTCAGTGTGATGCTTTACACCTCAAGGTTTCTTGTGGGGTCTATCTCCATATTGTTTCTGTTCATTGCCTGTCTTAACATTTCCTTCTGCTCCTCTTGTTCTTTGTTTCAGGCTCTCAAGAAGGTGGCTCGCTGAAGTCGCCCACTGTGTCCCGTGGCTCCCAGCGCTATGTGATTGACGGTCTGTCTGAAAAATCGTCAGTGGTAGCGGAACCTTGGGAGAGACTGTTGGATATCCTCGCTGTGGTTGGAGCGCGCTGCGAGTGGCAGGGAGACATGGGACAGAGGTAGTCCATCCATCTGCATGTCATTCAGATCTAACGTTGGTCATTTTGAGGCTGTTGAATTGAGGTGCTGTTGAATTGTACTCCATGTTTCTTTTTTTGGGTGTACCTTATGCTCTAGGAGTTATGTGGACATGCTGCAGAGAGTGAAGGAGCTGTGTCGCTACCTGCCTAGTCTGGAAGGAGACACGCAGTCCCGCTGCTGCAGTCAAGTAGTCATCTGCTCCGCGCTCGTCCTCTTCCACAGCGCCTTCCTCTACGTCTTAGCTGTGCAGCCTGCACTGTTCCAGGGTTAGCCTCCGTCTTTGCTTGTTCGTTTAACTCTAGTTCTTTTCATTAAAAGGTCAAAAGATCAAACGGTGGGTTTATGTCTGGCAGGTGTGAATGCGTTGAGCTCCGGGCCGTGGATCCTTGTAGAGGATTTGAGCTCGGTGTATAATGATGTGGACGTGGAAAGGGGAGCAGTGAAACATGCACATAAGAAACGCAAACTGGCAGATGGGAGAGATAAGACAATGGTGAGTACAGATCAGAAATCATTTTGATGTTTCTAGCCAGAAAAAACTGTGCAAGGTTGTGCTTTATGTGTTATTAAGAAGGTGACTGTGGTGTGTTTCCGTTGTGTCCGTGTCATTGTAGAGCTCAGATGATGAGGAAGGGTTGGGAAAAGGACGCAGTCGACACATTTTGGTGAACAAGACTGAGATGCCCAGCTGGTCAGAGACTCTGGAGAGCTTTCGCACAGCAAGGGAAAGCTGGGACCTTCTTCACTCCCATGATGGCCTGGAAACCGGTAAACACCTCTTCTGTTCATACGTGTTCTTATTTTCTTACTCAGACAGGGTCCAGTCACTCATACACTATATCATAGATTGAAAACCACAACAGCTGCAGATGTATTTTTATGGCTTATAAAAGCTTTCTCTAGAGCAACTTAAGGAATTAAGGAAAAGTGTCTTAATAATTTGTTTTTGTAACATTTTAACAGAGTTCAAGAAGATCTGTGCCTCTTGGAAGACGGACAGCTGGCTGTGGTTCAGAATATTCCTCACTGACACGATCATATACCAGGCAAGCAACACTTCTGATGATTTATGATGTTTTCTTTATTTGTTTGTGACAAGACACCTGCTGCCCTTTTTATTGTCGTTTTATTTTTGTAAAGTATTTAATCACTTTGTACTGGATTTAATTTAACTTTATCGATCTAGGAGGAAAGTAATTGGAGGCGCAGCACAGACAAGATGTAGCAATATATTAATAATTATGATAAATATATAAATATTATAATAATAATAACATATATTAATGTATACAATATTTAATGAATGGGGCAAATGGAGGTTATGGATCAACTATTGACAACAAGTCGATTGAACTGAGGTAAATTTAATGGAATTGATGGCAATATATAGTTTTCCTAACTGAGATATTTATAAACGTTAAAATGAATCTCTTCCCATGTGCCTCATTAGTTGTTTGTGTGTGTGTCTCCAGGGACAGTACCGTAAGGCCCTCTCTAGCCTGCACCAGATGGCTGCAGTGCAGCAGCCTCAGCCTGGACATCAGAGCCCCTCGGGCCAGGCCAGTCTGGAGCACCACAGGGCCCTCATACAGCAGGCGTCCTGCCACTACGCACTGGGAGAGTACAGGGTACACACACACACACACACACACACACACAAAAAGAAACACACACACACACAAACACACACAAACAAACAAACAAACAACAACACTCATGTTGTTGTTGCATTAGTCCATCGTGTGGCCCTTTTCCCATATTGTGAATACACACCTGGCCCAAATATATTATGTTGTACTGTTGTATTGAGCAGTAATTGTTTTACTATTCCTTTTCAAATGGATGTACAGTCTCTGTTCTGTAATGCCACTACTGTAGATGCTGTTCTAATCTTGTTTTATACTGATGTCTCTATTGCACTGTAATGTACGGAGGAGGTTGTTTTGCTTGGTGTTATTATAGAAAACATACTGCTCTGTGGGCCATGCTCCAAGAATGAATCGATAACCCCATCTAGCCTGCAGGTGGCGTCAAAGTTAATTTGATTTTAGAAGCACACAACTGCAGCAGAGTTCAAATTTCAGAGATTATGTTCAGACGTACATATATACTTATTAATTCAACCACTCTGACTAACTGATATGTGTTTATTTTGCTCCAAAGCTTCTACGCTTATCACATGCAAAGCTTTATTATTGAGCATAATTTGACATGCATACCTGAATTTTCTATACCAACAATTTTCAGAACAGGTTTTGGCCCAGTAAAAAGATATCCATAAGACACGGACAACAGGATTTAGAGTACAAGTGACAAAATGTAGACAATATATTTTATTGAATTTTTTTACAACATTTGGTGTAATAGCCTTGCCCTGTCCAGCCATGTGATGCACGTGTTGTACTGTGTGTGTTAATCAGATGGCCTGTGAGAAGCTGCTTGATGTTGTCGGGGGTCTGATGTCCCCGAGCCTGGACCCAACTAAGACTCCAGAGGATCAGAGCAGAGTCAAGACCAAAATAAGGAAAGGTAAACACTTCCTGCTTCCCACCTGTGAACAGCTTTTAACTATTTATGTAAAATTGACATCTAATATACATCTTTTGTCGCACAAAATGGTTTCATATATTTGGCAAATATATCCCAAAAATGTTTTGCGTGCGTCTGTATGTTGACAGATTGTTATGACCAGTAACTCAACATCAATACAAGGAAACCACAGGTTACCTTTGATAAAATGTACATATTAATGAGAAACGACTCTCTTTGTTGAAACTACTGTTATTGTGTGACAGAGAAAATGTATAACTGTTGTGTGTTTTTGTCATATCTAGGTAATGACCTGAGATTGCTTCCCTGCACCAGCAAAGCTGTGTTACCTTTCTGTTTCCAGCTGATGTTCGCCTGCTTCAAGGTACATAAACTAGTTAAGCCTGTGGAAATGCACGGTTTGTCACTATTTGTGTCGATCCATTTTTTCCAAGACTATTAAGGTATTAAACCCTCGTATAACCCACTTTCTCTTTTTCTCATTTTGTGCGATCAGCTCCGTGTCTTCACAGACAGCCGTGACGACCTGTCCCTCGGTCATGTGGTGGTGCTCCTGCAGCACGACTGGCCACAGGGCGAGATGCTGTTTTTAAAGGCAGTGGAGAAGATCTGTCAGCAAGGCGGTCTTCAGTATGAGAATTTCTTCAACTATGTCACCAGTATCCTTTTTTTTTGTGTAACTCACACAAGCCTGACAAAATGTATAGAGACAAATGACTTTGTGGTTACCTTGTGTGTGTGGTCTCCTATCTTGGATGTTAGTTTCCATGAGCTCATGACTTTTGTCAGACATTGACATGTTGGAGGAGTTTGCATACCTGCGTACTCCAGAAGGCGGCAGGATTCAACTGGAGTTCCTGCCCAATCAGGGAATGCTGATCAAGTAAGCGCGTCCCATTCACAAACGTTTTAGTTGCATCGTGACTCTGCGCACTCCCGTTCTGTTGCTGTTTTTAAAGAGGACAGTGATGTTGATTGACGATGTTAAGTAGACACGGCCTGTGGGTAGAAATGTACTTTGAACTGAAAATGCTGTTGACGGAGCGACGTTAGAAAGAGTTTACGGTTAAAAACAAAGCTTCTATCGAACTCCTTCATTGATTGCTGTAGAAGTTAAGACACTTAAATGCACCCTCACTGACAGAGTTGTTGAATGTTGCTGTCCTTCAGGAACCCTAGTCCTGCCCTGGGGGTGGAGTTAAATACCCTTCTGCTACAAGGGGTGCAGACGATGGACAGGTACCCCAGGCCCCTCCTCCCACAGCCCCATCCCTCCCCCCCACACCAGTCACCCTCCCTTCATTCCCAACTTCAAGGCTTGTCATCCCTCCAGTTTTGATTTGGGTCATTTTACATCCAGAAGTAGTTTGATTTCCTGTTGGCGTTTGTTTGTTTGAGCCATTGCTCGTCTTTCTGTGCTCATCACTGTTGTTGTTGTTGTTGTTCTTTGAGGATGATGTTGGTCTTGTTGTGCAGTCAATTTAGTTATTACCTTTTCATAACACTTGAGCTCATTTCATTTGTGAACATGTTTTATGTGTTTTTTTATTCATGATGATGAGACTTTTGTTGTGTAATCTTGAATGGTTGATTTATGTAAGAAAAAAACAACAACATACTTTTTCTGTGATTTTGTATTTACTGCATAGACCTCAGTCTCAAATCATGTCATAATAATACATCTCTGACTGTATGTATGTTTGTGTTCATTGTAGTTTTTAATCCTATGTTGTTGTTTTTTTTTTTTTTTTTTTTTCAGACACCACACCGTGACTCGTGGGATCACCAAGGGAGTGAAGGAAGATTTCCGTCTGGCCATGGAGAGGCAGGTGTCGCGTTGTGGAGAGAACCTGTACAGTGTGCTTCACCGTTTCTGCATCAACGAGAAGATCATGATCATCCAGTCTCTTCCTTGACACCTGGCCTGTGACTTTTGAGCCTTTTTTCATAGTTGATATTCCAGGCATCGTTTTAATGCAGCTGGACTGACTTTAGGACACAGGACACATTTGTAACTCTCATGTCTTCATCATCCATCTATGAACTCTTAAAATAATACATCTCCTTACCTTAAAAGCAGATCTCTCTTTTCAGAGAGTTGGTAACAATACTGGTTTTCTGAATATACAGTGCTCATGAAGTTAACATAGTACGTGTGTAGTTGTGCACAACCATATTTGAAGTGGTTCAATCATATTGTGACATTTGTGGAGTCAGTTATGACACATTTTTGATATTCTTCGGTAAAGTTTATTGTTTTTGTTACAAACTTGAAATGTTAGTTTATATAAATGTTTCCATTAAATGTCCTCTAAATGGTTGAAAGAATTGCCAAATGATTTCTATCTTACAAGCTTACAAGCAGTCAGTTTATCTTCATCTCATAGTACACAATTGGAAATTGGACACTATAGCTCAAGAAAGTATGCTTATGTGTTTTAGAAAGAATACTAGAAAATGTTCACACTTCTTTTTCGCTCCAGAGCACCCACGTTTTTACTCCTACCCTCTTTCCAACTTTCACTTCAGTATAATTCACACATCGTCTTCACACTTTCTCTTCCTCTGTAAGTCTTCCTTCCGAACTCACTCCTCTAGTTCTGTCACTGGTGCATTGGGCAGGTCTGCCTGTAGTGCAGCCCTGAGGTTAGCCCAGAACAGCCTGTGCTTGGCCCTGTCCTGAGGCCACTCCAAGTATGTGTGCCGGCCCATCATGCACTTCAGCTGGTAGTACTTGGATGGGATCAGGTACTGAGGCAGAGGCTCGAGCAGTACCAGCACAACGCTGTCCGTGCCCCAAGCGAGGCGTTGGTGGCTGGCGAAGTACAGCTCATAATGGCACCACTCGCTCTTGACGAAGTGAGCAGAGAGCACAAACACGGAGCGTCGGCTCTTCTCCACACAGGCGATGATGTTCTCAATGATCGTCTTTCCCGGCACAAAGTTTTTCTCATGGCGACAGATTCGGAGCCCTCCTGCGGTGTCTTCAAGGTTTGGGAGGAGGGAATTCTGCACCCAGTCTGCGTCATGCTGGCTGTAGGACACAAAAGCATGAAACTCGACACCCACCAGTTCTTCAGGTCGAACGTGACGCATTCTGGCGCGATGTTTGGCTCTGGTCCACTGCCAGATCATGCGCATATACCAGGGGGCATCCAAACGATTGCACAGGATCACAACTGCGATAATCACTATCACTGCTGGGCACAAGATGGTGGTAACTAGGAGGCCGATGTTACAGGAGACCTCTGAGATGGTGATGTCTTTCAAGGCGCAGTCTCTAAAGGCCTCTGGGTAGGTGCAGTAATAGCCCAATGGCCAGCTCAACAATTGAATTCCTGTGTGACTTTTCTTTTCAGACTTGATGCCAAGACTTATGAAACTCCTCAGAGCGCAGGTGCAGGTGAAGGGGTTGTAACTGACGTCCAGGGTCTTCAGTTTGGGGCAGCTATCCAGCTTGTTCATAGTTGGTGCATGGAGGGAATTTGACTTGAGCAGAAGCTCATTCAACAGGGGGAAGCCGTTGCATACTGGGAGGTCCCGCAGCCTGTTAGCATTTAGATTCAGAGATGAAAGATTTTCCAGTTTCAAGATGGACGATGGTATCACAGAAACCTGGTTGTTCTGGAGGTCTAGTGACTCTGTTCCTTTTGGTAGACATTTAAAAATGGAAGCTGTCAGACCATTAGACGACAGAGTCATATTGGTGATGCTTAGTGGCCAGACACATTCTCCGAGACCATCGTAAACCAGGGAGTTGATGCTGAGGTCCAGATGCTGCAGTGACTTCATGAATTGCACCCGTTTGCTCAGGATCTGAAGGCTCCTGAAATTGTTGTCTACCAGAATCAATTTCCTCACACTATCCAGATTCTTACATTCAAGACTTTTTTGACCTTCCACTCTGGAGAAGATGGAGTCGGATAGGGCACAATTGGAGAAGTCCAGCTGGAGGATAGGACTGTGATACTTTGGGCATGTCATGTGTATGATTGAAGTCTCAACGATTGCTAAACTCTCCACCGGCATGTTGATAAAAAAGTCATAAACAGCTTCCTGTGAAAAGATGAAAGACTTTACCACCGCCCTTATGGCTCTGAAGGACTTCATTTTAGACGTCTGGATCGTTTCATTGTCGCTAAAAGGCAGGTTGTACAGGGCCACATCAGAGGCCGTCAGATGACTGACTGATGTACGCAGGACCGCACCTACAAAGCAAGTCAAGTCCTTCCAGTCGATTGATATGTTGGTGAGATAAAGATGAGATGTGAGGATTCCTACTCTCTCGCTCAGCTGCTTACTCAGGTTATTGTAGCCACCATTCAAATCCATCAACTCCACGGCATCAAAGAGTGACAGTGCATCAGAAACCAGATGATGGTTCAATATTTGATAACTAATGAAGGCTATCTGAAGCCTCTGAGCATGGACATCCTGCAGGCTATCTGCTGTATAACCCTGTTCATTCTCCAGGGAAAGGGTAAGTGTATGCAGTTTCACTCCAGCAATATTCAGGAAATCCCCCTTACTGATGTTTTGTGCTCCAAGAGCTAATCTCTCCAGTTTTACCAGGGATCTGAACTCACTGCCAAGTGTCATTGTGAGAAAGTTGTTGCAGACTAAATTCAGTACCAGAAGGTTCTCTGTGTGGAGCAGGTACCGCTGACCCGACAGGTTCCTCAGTCTGTTGTGTGACAGGTCTAGATCCTCCAGAAGTGGCGTGTCGAGGAACGTCTCTGGATCGATGTCCTCCAAACTATTCCAGGAAACGTTGAGGAACCTCAGGAGGGGTGTGTTTTTGAAGTCTCCCCGGTGAAGGTGCTGTATGTGGTTGCATGACAGGTCTAAAAGCTCAGTCGTCTGCGGCAGGTCTCTTGGGACAGAGGAGAGGTTTTTGGATGAGCGGTCTACGATGCTGTCAGGGGATGAAGCACTCCGCTGGAGTCCCATCAACATGGCTGCCACACAGAGGGCAGCGATCATCGGCCTCATTGTTAGTCTGGATAGAAGTAAGAAAATAAAGGTCTCATGCATACACTCAGCTGCAAGTTTATTAGGTACACCTGGCTAAAAGTGCTGCAGTCTAATAAAACAGTCCTGCAATAAATTGTAGGAAGGCTCCGTTTTTATGGAATCTGTTTTAGAGATGTGTGATTCAACTTCATTATGAAGGATGTAGTTTGTGGTGAAATGTGTTACATGGCACATGGAGGAGTGCCTGTTAATTAGCCTACCCTCAGATATAAATGGGGTGGACAAAATAACAGAAACAAATAATAATGGACAAAATATTCTGTGTAAACCTCTCTAAAACCATTTCAACAATACAGAATGGTAAACCTTCACGAGGGTAAGATGTAGTTTGTTGTTTTATTTTTTTCTTATTTGTCCTGTCTTTTAATCCATAGTCAGATTTTGAATACTGAATTGAGCAAATGCATTAGTTTAGTGGATGGATTCAATCATCCTGTTTCTAAAGTTTTTTTTAAAGCTTTTTCAGACTCTTTGTTGTGTCTGTGTTGACTAATTATTCTACTAGTTTGGCCACAGTGGGATCTCAATCTAAACAGCATGGTTGTAAAATAAAATTGCAACTAAATCCTACCATTACTAGTACACAGACAGAAAAAGGAGTGTACTTACCGAGGTCAGATGGACTTTCTTTTGTTATTGGTGACAAAAATGTGCAAAAAGGTTCACCAACAATCAAAAGCAGTCCGATCAAAAGACAACAATCAGCAGTCAGCTTCTTCTGTTGCTCCAGCTCGTTTTTCTGATGCAACCTGTGCTGATGTTAGTTATTAATAACGGCGGTAAGAGGAAATAGAAATGGAAATGACAGCAACTGTCAAACCAATCGCGGCTTCTCGTACATCCTCTTTTCCCTTATTTACTGCAAAGAGCTCTTTATTAAAGGGAACTACTGTATTTATAGTGCTATATAAATCTCAGCTATTCTGATTCTGATTTGTATAACACATTGTTCTTTACATGCTGGTATTTGTTGGACTCTGTTTAAAAGTTATTTTACTTCCGCCTTGGTTTTGAATCAAACCTAGTGTTGAGGGGCTTTGTCACTAACATACCAAACTATTGACAATTCTCTTTACTATGTCACGCATATTTATGTTATATGTCCTACTGTGTAAGGGTGTTTTGAAAAGCCCCTCAGTGTTGTCAGGCGTCTTTTCTTCAGTATCATAGCGACCACACTGAGGTCAGTCTGAGTGGTAAATGACCATTTCAACTCCATTAAGTTATCCGGCTAATGCCTTGAAGCAAAGGGTATCCTGGGCAACTGCACTGTTTACTCTAGACAGCTCTTGACACTGTCTTTAATGAAGAAGGATGAGGAAGGGCCTTTTTCTTTTATTGTGATTGTGAGGCTTTATTAAGGGCAAGTGTGTGTACAGACAGACAGATGGACAGTCACACAAACATACACTTCCCAGCAATGTTTTTAGTCAAGCAGCAATGCTGTTTACTTTGGTCAGTGACTGTTACTCATATAGCAAGAGGAGCTAAATTGAATAAGAAGATATGAGGCGGTGTCACTGTTCTCACCTGGCAGGGTTCTGATCAAATCTGGGAAGCAGCTTCTGGCCATAGGACAACAACAAAAACAGCTTTTTTTTTCAGTTTCAGGCTACGCTAGGTTGCATTGTCCTTCCCTGTGCTTCATTAACTTTCCCCAGTAAGTGTTGAACGTGTGAATTGATATTGGAAAATGAAATCCATTTAACTCAAATGTAAAACTTGTTATGTTTCACTACCATCTGCAAGTGTTTGTTGGAAACGAGGACCGCAATGTGAACTACTTCTTAGTTATGGTGCTAAGATCAGAGTACAAGCTAATTATTGACACAAGAACCTTTTTACAGCAATCAACAGCTATGTTTAGAGCTGCGTCCTCAGGAGTAGCTCAGTAATATCCTCTTTAAGTGTTGTCCCTCTCTTTTAAATTGTTTTTTTCTTTGGTGATATAATTGAAGAAGCGTTTCTGGAATTACAGGTAAAAATAATTCACCGGAAGCTTCTCAAAGTATAGTGTGAGGATATGAGTCAACCTTTGTGTGGACATTGTGTGGTAGGGAGGGGCTGAGTGGGAGCACAAGTACACCGAGGGAGAGATAGGGAAGTCTGACCAGGTTGTCAGATGAATCGTGCAGCACCTTGAAGCTTCAGACCTTCTCCCGGGTGTGATCACTCTCCTCCCTCCTCTACCATAATGGGTCTTTTTCTTTTCTCAAGAAGATTTACGATATTGAACAGAGCAATTGCTCTGACTGACACCAGCTCCTGCCTTCCAGTTGGGATCTGAAACAAGGTAGACTCCTTCAGTATGCTGAATCACTCTTCTGCTCCCACTCTACAGTACCTCTTACTCTCCCTCCTGTTGTTGGCGTGTGGTTGGAACAAGGCGGCCTGCTCTCTTGGAGAGGGCAGGGGGATTTGGCAGCAGCCCAAGCCGGACCCCATCACCAAAGACCAGTCTTTCCTTCATGATACCTTCCCTTCAGGATTCCTTTGGGGTTCAGGGACGTCTGCCTTCCAGACAGAGGGAGCCTGGGATCAGGAGGGGAAAGGCGCATCCATCTGGGACCATTTCACCCACTCCACTGTCAGTAATAAATTGGCAACCGAGACTGCCGATGTGGCTAGTGACAGCTACACTCGCTGGGACAAAGATGTGGAGGCACTGGAGTATCTAGGTGTAAAATCATACTATTTCTCTCTCTCCTGGCCCAGACTCTTTCCTGATGGGAATGCAAAAGTTAGGCCCAATACTGTTGCTGTGGAGCATTACAGCCGTCTCGTAGACAGGCTCCTGGAAAAGAGAATTGAGCCCATTGTCGCCCTCCATCACTGGGACCTGCCACAAGTCCTGCAGGAGCGCTATGGAGGCTGGAAAAATGACACACTGGTGGGACTGTTTGAGGAGTATGCAGCCTTTTGTTTCAACACGTTTGGGAGCCGTGTTAGGTACTGGCTCACAATGCATAATCCATACTTGGTGGCTGTGCAGGGCTATGGGACAGGCGTGCACGCTCCTGGAGAAGCAGGGGGTCCCGCTGGCTTTCTCATTGTGGCCCACAACCTGATCAGGGTAAGTAAAACGAGTCTAAATTAAGATAGTCTGTACTCATATTGTGCTTTTTCTGCCTTGGTCGTAGACGGCGGCACATGAAGAATTTCTCTAATCATATTGACTATCTTTAAACTTTGAACCTCTGCTGCAGTTATATCAGTTTATGATGGTCAATGAGTGTTTGCATCCACAAGACAACAGAAAGTGACACAAGCACAGACTGCACCAGTGCTCAGATATTTTGTTGCAATAAAATGAAATCAATTAAGACGATATAGTTGGATTAATGTCTTTGAAACATACAACTGGTTCAAGCCTTGATTCTCACTTTTTATTTTACCTCCTATATGACCAGTTGATCATATTTCATTGTGACAGGTTTGTGATCAGTAAACAGAACACTTAAAGAGACATTACGGTCAAGGTCCACCACATCAGCACTTCTCTGCTGGAGCGTAACAGTGTGTGACAGGAAGTAATGGAGATATGCCTTATTAATAATCACTCACGTTTTTGTTAGTCTAACACAGATATTATGTGCAGCTAACACCACGCAGACAGTCTGAGCAAATAGTGATTCTCTGGTGCCTAAAAGATTGTTTTTATGATTACACCATAACTTCCACTAAGGAAGTTATTTCTTTAGTGCTATTTGTTTAGTGCTTATTCATCTGTTACACGATAGGTAAATCTATGCCCAGATCAAGGCAGACAGGTCATTTTCTTATCTACTACTGCATTTACAGTACTTATATTAAATTAATACAATCTATTACGTCATTTAACGCAAATCTGGCTCCAGAAGTGTAGGTTCTGGTTTTGTCTCATTGAAATAACAAATGCAGGTGATGGTGCAGCTGTGGGGGAGATATGCGCTCTCTGTGTGCTTATTAAAAAGCATGATAGATATTTTTCACAGCATACATTTGGAGTTATCAAAGCAGGAAGAGCACACTAATACTGACACTAAGAATATTAATGATGACTCTGTTCTGTTCAAGTGACAGTGAGCCAGCAAACTGAAGCTAAATGTAATTTAGCCATCATGCATTCTATTATTTACAAATGTATTTCTCCTCCTATAGCATAAAAAATGCCTTCCATGAAAAAGTTCTATTGTAATATTGTAATTGTGTTGTAGAATGCCGCACAGCGCATCATAATAATGTGTCTGCTGCGATTTCCAGGCACACGCCAAAGCATGGCACACCTACAACACCCACTTCCGTCCAGCTCAGAAGGGTAAAGTATCCATTGTTTTGGGGTCCCACTGGGTTGAGCCTCAAAGAGGCCAAGCCACAGCTGCTAATGTTGAGCTTTGCCAGCAGTCAATAGAAGCTGCCCTTGGCTGGTTTGCCAACCCCATCTTTGGTGATGGGGACTACCCACTCTCTTTAAAAATGAAGCACGGGGCCCTCTTGCCCACATTCTCCCCCGAGGAGAAGCTCTGGGTGCAGAAAACAGCTGACTTTTTTGCTCTGTCCTTCGGGCCCAACAACCTCCGTCTGGGCCGGGGCCTGGTCCAGTATGGGCAGACTGTGACCCCAGACCTGAGGCGCGTACTGGGCTGGATAAAGCTGGAGTATGGGGACCCGAAGGTGCTTGTGACCGAAGGAGGCTGGTTTTCTGAGGCCAGTGTGGGAAAGGAGGACACAGTGGCCATTTACCTGATGAAGAGGTTTATCAACCAGGTCCTGCAAGGTAAGAGAAGAAGAAGAAAAATAGACATTGTAATTAAGTCAGCAAATTTGTATTCTTCCACTTTTAATGCTGTGTTTTCTTTCACAGCCATCAAGTTTGATGGCGTGCAGGTGTTTGGCTATTCTGCCTGGTCACTGGTGGATGGATTTGAGTGGAATTATGGCTTCACTGTTAGGCGAGGCCTTTTCTATATCGATTTCAGCCAACCAAACCGAACCAGGACCCCCAAGACCAGTGCTCGGTACTACAGGCGTGTTGTCACTGACAATGGTTTCCGCAGTGACGAAACTTCCAGAGAGATCAAAGGCCGTTTCCCCTGCGAATTTCACTGGGGTATTGCCGACTCCACTTTACAGGTAAGAAGAGAGATAAACTAAGAATATACAGCAAAAAAAAAGCTAAATGAATGTCTGTATTTACCCTGATATTATTCTATGTCTTTTTTTGTGACTGTAGGTCCACTTCTACCCGTTCTCACCACAGTTTACTGACAACCGTTTGTACAGCTGGAACCTGACAGGAGACGGTTCGCTGCGTCCAGTCCCAGGGGTGAAGATGCAAACCAGACGAGCCCAGTGCACCGACTACTTGGCCATTCGTGGTCATCTTCGCCTGTTCGCGTCCACTGGGGCATCTCACTACCGCTTTGCTCTAAACTGGTCTCTGATTTTACCCCAGGGAGACCTCTCTAATGTGAACACTGAAGCTCTGAGGTAGGAATACACAAACACACTAACATGGACGGTTTTTCCCAAGTTCAGCACAATTTGATTCATTTGAATTAAATTCAATTCAAAATTCACACCATAGAATTAAGCCCATTTCAATACATTTAAAGATGATATATGACTCTGTCTCTCTTTTTGTCTATGCACATTAACGGCTAATTCTGTAATCTTGTTTCACATTTAAAAGGTACTACCGCTGTGTTCTGTACGAGCTCAAGAAGCTGGACCTGGAGGCTGTCGTTATTCTCTACTACCCCACACACAGAGCTCCAAATCTAGGTTTGCCTGGGCCCCTGCAAGCCTCTGGTGGTTGGCTCAACTACAGCACCGTGGAGGCCTTTCAGGAATATGCAGCACTGTGCTACCAGCAGCTGGGGCCCTGGGTTCCATACTGGATCACCGTCAATGAGCCAAACAGACTGATAGATGTTTATTCCACTTGGAAAGAGAAGCATCAGGCAGCTCATAACCTTCTTCTGGCTCACGCTAAAGCCTTTAGGCTGTACGAGAAGGAACACTTGGGTCAACAGAGAGCACTGGTATCACTTGCATTACATGCCGACTGGGCCAAACCTGCAAACCCCTTCCTTGACTCGCATACGGCAGCAGCACAGAGATTCCTTTTGTTTGAGCTTGGTCGGTTCTTAGACCCGTTGCTTGGGACTAGATATGAGGAGAAGCATAGCAAGGTGGACTATCCAGAAGAAATGAAGGCATACCTGGAGGAGAGAGCTCGAGTAATGGGCTTCCCTGGATCCCCTCTTCCTAGCTTTACTAAGACTGAGAGGGAGGAGCTTAGAGGGACATTGGGTTTTATCGCTCTGAACCATTTTACCACCCGTTTGGTCTCTCCATATATCCACACACAGGGCAATTTTCAGCAGAAACAACCTCCTGATCACGGCTGTGTGATCCTTTCTGATCCCACCTGGCCCTCCTCAAGCCTGGGGCAGGCTCTTGTACCCGAGGGCCTGCGGAAGATCCTGAACTGGGTGAGCCAGAGATATGGAAGGGCTCTGCCTATTATTGTCACAGCCAGTGGGGTTGATGATCAGGCTCCTGTGGAGGACAAACTCAGGCAACACTTTTTCAGGAGTTATCTGCAGGAGGCCTTAAAAGGTGACATGCATTTCACATCCTACAACTCCATCAGTAATGGCCCTCTTCAAACATTTTTCAGTAGTCATGATGTTGAGACAGTTAAACATTTGGTTGTTTTATTATTAGTAAAGTAAAGTATATCTTGGCAATTCATATTTCGTAGGGAGGAGTTGGAGAGTGGATGAATGATTCTTATCTTACTTTTCTCCTTTATTGTATTTGTCTCTATAGCTCGCCAATTAGATAGAGTCAACCTGCAGGGCTTCTACGTGTGGAAACTGCAAGATCGACATGCCCCCCAGTTTGGCCTCTTCACCTCAACCCACCATCAAGCCAAAGCCAAAGCCTCCATTGCTGTCTACAGAGAAATCATAACTCATGGAGGTTTCCCTGAGGATAACACCACGCAGACATGCAGGTTTAGTGCGCTGCATGAGCCTTGCTCTGTATGTGCATGGATGTTCAAGAACAAAGCGATGTTGGTCTTCGCAGGTTGCCTCCTAATAACAGCCGTAATGCTGGCAGCACTTGTCATCTTTGTTGTTATCACCAGGAGAAACCAAACAAGAGGCAGAGGGAGGGGGGTGAACAAGCGGAGAAGAAGGGAAGGAGTCCCCGTATGCTCGTGTCCACCTGTTAAGTGCTAACCGTAGAGACATTGCATATGTAATGTAAAGCAGACAAACTGTGTGTGGCTCATTGACAGAGAAGATCAATGATCTATTGTGTCTGGTCCAATGATGTGTGTATCTGTGCTTGTAACAAATGTGTGATCAGTTTACCAACACTTACTGTCAAAAAAAATGTGTCTCCATCCATTTTATTGTAATAATGGGTTATTTAGATGGAGGGTAAAAAAAATGGAAAAGCTATTTTGTTAATTAAATGATCAAGAGATTTACTGAATGCCAAAGATTGGCTGGCTCGCATGTGTTCTTACAATTATGTGAGGTCTATAGTTTACGATAAGGGAGGATAACAACTTTACCTAATTGCTTACCTTACCTATGACCTCCATTATGGCGAGATATGCCAGTGCCATGATTCTAGCATTGGAACAGTCAGTGATGATTATATTGTGTAGATCAGACTAAAATGTGACTTTAATATATTTTACACAATGTAAGATAAGTTTAGCTCAGATTTAATTGTGGATTGCACAAAAAATATATATATTTTCACAAGTGGTATCCACTTTATTCAAACACCAGACATGATGCTTCATGCCAAATGTGTGAACCTCCACGGGACAATGACGCCCCCTAGCGTCGCAGTGTGAAACAACGTGAAACAAGGATCCGTCTTTTGTTAAAAAATGGAGAAAATATCAAAACGTACAGTGTATGCTCATGTGTTAGTAAGAGACCGTCAGTGTTTGTGACCGTGGACCTCTGAGATAACGTATTTCAGACGATGACATGATTCCTGGGGTCTGTCTTCAAAAGCATGTAATGATTTGTATGAATTGTATAATGTGGAACAGACACAGGTTTAAATGGGATCATCAGATGAAGAATAGGTGCTTTCTGCAGTAATGGAAAGCAACTGAATCTTCATGTGATACATACTTTAGACTTGAAAACTGCTAATCAGAACAGAGAGTCATTTTGGAGCATGTATGACTAAAAAGTAAAACGTTAAATGATTGCACAGTGATGATTACATTTAATCTGTCATTGTATGAAACCCTGTTTACCTGTTCTGAGATCACTTTTATTTTGCATTAAAATGTTTTCTAAATGGCACACTAACCTTTTTTATTTCAATATATACCACCCCTATGAACATCATATGGTTTTAAAGCTCTAACGTTAAAACAATAACAACAATAATGAGGAATTACTCATCAACAGATCAACCAATGGGAGAAGGTGCCCAGGATGGCAATACAGATCACATGACCCGCTCTCCTCCAGACTGCATGCAGTTTGGTATTAAAATGTTGTCAGTACGACCGACCATTGTGTTGTGACACATTTCAGATGATAGAGGCATGTTCAGCTATTTTAACAAATCACAACATCAGATTGACAACCGGGACTGACGGCGCTCGCGGCGAACAACGTTGCAGCTGCTAAATTTTGAGGTTGTATCCCTAAAACAAGTGCAGAGTTACTGTAGGCAGGACGAGCTAGCTAGCGTTAGTCAGGTCGGACGGCGGCGAGGCCCCAACCGGGACGGGAACACGGGGGAACCATGGCCAACATCGCAGTTCAGAGGATAAAACGGGAATTCAAGGAGGTGCTCAAAAGCGAAGAGGTCGGTTGTCGCGTTTGCCAGTTAATGTCACAGCTTTCCGTGTTTATTTCTTTGACTAACGAGGCTGAATGTGAGTGACGCGTCGCTGGGCTGTCAGCTCTCTAATCACCGAGCAGCTAGCTGTAGCTAACGGTGTCAGACACGGCAGAGCAGCTACTAACGCTAGCTATTGTTACGCCACCGCCGGGTAGTCGCGTCTAGGCAAGAGCTAGAGTTAGCTAACGTAGCTAGCTTAGCATGCATTCTGTGGTAACCAAGCTAGCTGTGTTAGCGAGGACAGATTGGTGTGATCCGCGTGTACTACTGAAGGTTTGCTCTCTCATACGACCCCCTACATCTGCATAGAGTCATCGCAACTTACGTTAGAGGGCCTAATGTATGTAGATCCGTAAGTGCAACAAGTTGAGGTCAACTTCTGCTGCATAGGCTGGTTTGAGTTTGACAGCAGGCTAGCTTAATAACACTTTGCAGTCTGCTGAAGTTGTAATGCTTCTTTGCCTTTTTCACTCTTTCAGACGAGCAAAAACCAGATAAAGGTGGATCTGGTGGATGAGAACTTCACAGAACTTAAAGGGGAGATAGCAGGGCCACCTGACACACCGTATGAAGGTGAGGGGCTCATTGTAACCTGTATGCATGGCTGCATACATCTGTAATGTCACAATGGGTGTCACTGACAACAACTTCATCTTTCAGAAGGCCTCACCAACTAACTATTCCAAGAGGCTTTTAATCATTTATAATATAACCTAAAGCTATTTGCATTTAACAGTTACACTTTTATTTCATGATTGTCACGACTGTTGAGTAATTGTGATCCCTCTCATTTCTTCCAGGAGGTAGATATCAACTAGAAATAAAAATTCCAGAGACGTATCCATTCAATCCACCAAAGGTAGGGATTCATTACTGTTATTCTTACAGTTAACTTTTCTTTGAGGACCATGTCCTTTTAGAAATATTCCATTAACTGTCCTAATCCGCAAATGATGTCCCTTGTCTCGTTTTCATTTAATCTCTCAGGTGCGGTTTATCACGAAGATCTGGCATCCCAACATCAGCTCAGTCACAGGCGCAATATGTCTGGACATTCTCAAAGACCAGTGGTGAGTGAATGTGCGCCAGCATTCCTAACATAATTCATCCACTACACATCTGTCATGAAATACTTCTCTAGTCGTGTAAGACAAAGCCATTGTTGTTTCTACTGCCCACTGATTTGTCAACAGTTGTATAACAACACAAAAGTATGCAAATAGCCCCAATATGCGCTGATCCAAACATACTTATTATGATGCATTGACGGAACATAAAACATAGATATGACAAAGTTAAATAGATGAGTGAGCCTGATGATGGTGAAAGCATTAGTTATTATTACTCCCAAAGAGTGATCACTTCAGTAAAAGGTATTTAAACTATATGTCCGTTATCATATTCCTCAGCCAGTCCCATGCAGTAATAGAAACCTTTGTGTACACGCGTAGGTCAATGAGGATCGTTGACCTTGTTTTGGTGTTGCACTAAACAGTCTCCTCCTGTGTGTTGTTTCAGGGCAGCAGCTATGACGCTGAGGACCGTCCTCCTGTCGCTACAAGCCTTATTGGCAGCTGCAGAACCAGATGATCCACAAGACGCCGTGGTAGCCAATCAGGTGGGTCTGCGTGCGTCTTTATGTTTTTACTTTTTCGATATGTATGTCTAATTTTTCAAGCAGAGCAACACATGTGTATAATATTGTACTCACTTCCTCTGACACTAGATATCTTCTAGGAATTTGCAAACAATTGGTTGATTATTTCACTCATTTATATATTCAACAGACAATTAATTGGTAACTATTCTGATCATCTACTAATCGTTTAAAGCATTCAACAATGTGGATAGTTCCAGCTTCTTAAATGTGAGATTTTGCTGCTGTTCTTGGTCTTACATTAAATTATATTGAATATTTTTGGGGGTCCCAAAGACATTGTGATGTGAATTACAGGTTTTATTTGTTTGTTTTTTTATGGACAAAATATTCCTTGTGAAACAGTCATAAGATTAACCGATGCGCTGCTGCCTCAGACTGGTGTTTTGAACCTCTTTTACATTTTCGCCTTACATTGACAATAGGAAGTGAAGACATACAGGAAGGATTGACTGGGAAAGAGTTGTGCTTCTAATCCAGCACATCGCTCATAATAAGCACCTCACACATCTGCCCCTGTCGGCAGGACATATCGAAATACTATCGACAGGTTCCCATGAACACTAGGTGGACATTAAACACTAATCCCACGGAACAATTGCTTATTTTTTGTGGTGCTTTGCATCTTGAATTCAATAAATTAGGGGGACAGACAGTTATATTTTTTTGACAAATGACTGTTTAGCAGATGTCATCATCTACATAACACACAGTTGTGTACTATAGATGTACTAAATGTTGTTATACATTTCAAAACCTTAACTATGATCATAAATATGATAAGTAGCTCAGGTGATATATGGGGGTGCTCGTTAATCTATTGTGTTTTACAACTTACACCCTCTCATGTTGACTGACTGTCACTGGAAAAGTGATGTGATTAAATGATCAGATGCTACCAAAAATAAAGGTTTAGAGGAAATGGTCTCGATTGCCATTCTGATAACTGTCGAGTAGATTTGTTTGTTCAGATATTAATTTTGGGTTAACCTGTGTATGACTCCGGGTTGATGCTTTATGCGTCTGTTTGGGCTGCACAGCAGATCATTGTCATATGTCAAGTGATATTCAGTGCAGTGCTGGTATAGTGAAGGCTTTATGTGTAGGCAGTGAGCTGTTTGCCTCCGCTTGCTTTCTTTATTGAGAAGATGATCCCACTTTATTGAACACATTATTACGCCTACACACTACCACTAATCCTTGTGTCCTCTATTGCTTACCAACCCACATCCCACTGAAGCACACATGAAGAAATTAAATGAGGTTAGATAAGAGTTGGTTTAGAATAAGATGTTTTTTTGCTTTGAGTCCAATCTGGAGTGGAAACCTGAGACTGTTCAGGTGGTTTGAAAGGTGTTGGAGCCTAAATTGTCTAAAAGGTGCACTTAACATGACATGTTCACACTACATGAACATTTGACAATAACAATATATGGTTATTCTGATTGTTGTACTGAATAATGACCCATTCAAATGAGGTATGTTGAGTCCAGAACTTGATTGGTGCATGGAGAACAGACTGCTGGGCAACACTCTACTAGTTCCTCTAAATGTCTCAGTAGCCTCAAAATCTTGCAGGAAATGATTTTATTGGGGAGCCACACATAGACAATAGTATTGATGGACCATAAGTGCACTTCTGCTCGTATGCACATATGTGCTCGGGGATCTGAGCGAAGTAGAAAAGCACGATGTGTCAGTAGTTGGCGGTGATGTGCTGATGAGTCCCTTGCAAACAAACCTATTGTTGTTGTTCACCTTTTTCCCCTCACACAGTACAAGCAGAACCCAGAGATGTTCAAACAGACAGCGAGGCTTTGGTCTCATGTCTATGCAGGCGCTCCCGTCTCAAGTCCAGATTACACGCGCAAAATAGACAAACTCTGTGCCATGGGCTTTGAAAAAGTAAGTAGTCTCTCAACTGTTCCCCTGCTGTGCATTGCACTGCCGAACTCCGCTGAAGAATATAACTGTGTTTCTGAATGTTTCTCTTCTCAGAATGCAGTAATAGTGGCGTTGTCGTCGAAATCCTGGGACGTGGAGACAGCGACAGAGCTACTGCTCAGTAACTGAATCTTGACACCTTCTTCCTCTTGATCCCCCTCTCTCCCTCACACATACATACCCTCTCTCTTTTGGATTCCTGGTGTCTCATGGTGTCTTTTCCCCAGTTGCACCCCCCCCCTCACCTCTTTATCCCCTCTGTGTGGCATCTCTCTCTCCGATCATGACCTCTGCTGTATCACACTCCAATCAGTCGCTCTGTGAGCTCTCATCTCTGGTTTCTCTCAGTTCATTCAACATTCCACTCATTGCTGCAATCACAACTTCAGCCACATCTTCACCCCTTTTTGAAGCAAATGTCAGACTTAAGACCCGCCCACGCCCGCCACTCTCCCAGCTGTTCTGGCTGTGTCCAAGAAGCGGCCGTCAGCGGCTTATCCTCGCCTATGCATTGCATTTACTTTCATTCCTGAAAACCTTTTTATAGGAGCAAGTCAAGCATTTCAAGGAGGCTCTTTTGGACCTGATTATGATTTTTACACTTTTTTATTTGCCGGTTTTCTAAACGGGGATTGAGTCTAGACTAAACACATTATTGAATTGGTCTCTCTCTTCTTATTCTTTTGCGTGGTGTCCAACATTACTTGATCAGTTCTCTCAATCACAATCAACATTTTGAGGGTACTCTAAATTGACTATTAAAACTTACATTTTGGGACCCTTCTGAGTCATTATCTTGTGCCATCACTGCAAGCTTGTCAGGGCGCTACAATTTTTCAGGTTTTTTTTTTCAGGTAAAATGTGGAAATTCAAATACATTTGTGGTAAATTAAATATAGTGCACCGGTTAGCAAACATGGAGTTATCCAGACACAGTGTTTAAGAGGCTTGTTCCCTGTTCAGGAACCAGCTCATTAAGTGTCCCCGAGGTGTTCACATAGTAGCCATCCTCATTTTCCTGCCGTGTTTCACTTCAACTGTCTGATGAACCCAGAGCTCCAATCCCCACACCTGTTGTTGACATGGCTTACTTCACCTGTCCCTTTCCCCACTTTTTTTTTTTAAATTTTTTATTTGCTTTTGGCCTCCTGCAGGAATACATTTGGATTCTTGTTTTTAAACTGAAAGAAAACCAACAAAGAAAAACATGTTTGGCCGTAACACAACCTGTCCTGGGTCTGGATGGAAAAGTAGTTCAAAATGAGTTTGAAAAATATTGCATCATCTTAACTACGCCAACAGATAAATATGTCAAAAATGATTAATCTGTAAATAAAGATATTAAAGTCTGTGTAAATTAAACCACCCTCTGTCCTCTCTGTGACTTTTCTCAACTGGAATCATTTTCTTCCTACAAGCAACAACAAGAAACTACCTGACAACAAAATAATGTTCAGTCAATGTATCACAGTCAGTTTCTTGTAAGTGTAACTCCAGTCCCAATATTGATAAATATCAAAAACACTTTATGCTCTTTGATGTTTGGCTGTGCATAGATTTGCATAAAAACTAGGGTGAGGAAGACGATCTCCAAGACCAACAGAAATTGATCCTACAGGGAATTATGTTGCCAGTGAAAATGGAGCAAGCAAGCCAATTTATATGACAACTGTGCACTGTGGAATGGATTATGTGCCTTTCTGTACTTTGGACTTGTACAGAAGTGTTTCACTGCAGTTGTGTATTATTCCTGGTTCCGCAAGCTCAGTTTTTTTTTTTTAGTGCATTTGAAACGTCAACAGGGAAGTGATGCAGGCACTTCTCATAATGTTCAGACCACCTTGCTTATAGTGAGGCGTGCTGAGATGAGCACAATAACAGATGGCCTGCCTGGTGGCATGTTGTTCCATGCTGAACCTCTCCAACAATATCTGGCAATAATCTGAACACTGCATTTCAGCCTCCATGCTCGCACCAAACAGCAGAAAAGCTGCCATTGGTGTGTTTACGTCTACTATTCAACAGCAGTATGTAGTGTAGAGCCCTCAAAGGACCTCAGGGACGGTATTACAGTGGATTTAACTGGACACCGGCTGCACAGTAAACCAGCCTCAGGTTTCCAAAACAAAAGATTGTTTTGTATCCTTCCCCCTGGATGCTGGCATCTCTCTTCCACCATCTATATCGCCCACATTATTGATGTACTACTGACCTTTACTTCCTGTGGGGCGTCTTCAACAACAAAAGATATTTGCAACTTTTAATGCATTAATGACTTGTCCACATCCAAACAACCAGCCATAATATTAACCAAGCACCGCTTGATGGATTGTTTGTATGATTGTTTTTCCCTTCCTGGTTCTGGCTGTATGTTGAAGGAGCAGGCCAGCCGCTCACCTAGTTGCAGCCGTTTGATTGACAGCTGAATAGCTCAGTGTATGGTGAGGCGATGCTTCCTGGGCATCCTGTTTCTCTCGGTGTGCTGCTGCTATGTGATAGCCGGAGTTTTATTCCGTGTCTCAGTAAGCGGACAGACATGCTGCCTCCCCTGCCAAGCAGTAAGAGCCGACCTGACCGCGAAGACGGCCAGATGAAATGGTGCCCTGCTGTCTGCAACTGAGTTCAACTGGGGTTGAACGGGCACCATGACGGCCTGTCAGGGGACGAAGCCAAAGGGCTGCTAGATCGCTGGTCGCAGTTAACTTTTTATTCTTCTCGGAGGTGTTAAGAAATGCTCAACATGATTCCAATAATTTGTCTGGCGATGCTGCTTCCTGAAGGTGAGTCAGAGGCTCCTGCCTGCAGAAAAGTGACCTATATGCTGCTGTTAATTAGTTAGAGGGATTGTACTGTTTTTGACACGGAGGCTTAAAAAAAGAGCGCACAACGTTTATTGATGTTAAATGCATTGCTGTGTGCGTAATTGCGTAATTGCGTAAATGCATTGCTGTGTGCCTTTCAAATTGAGAGCAGTTGCGTTGATGTTGAAAGTTTCACGTTGCTTTCAAGCTATTTAAACAATCTAAGAAAGTTATAAAAGAGATGTTTATACTTTTATTATAAAGTCCTAAACCCCATTAAAACAGTTTCCACATCGCTTGTGTGGTTTTCTCTTAAGGATCGCTAAGGGGGATTGGAATGGCCCAACAATAACTAAATATATTATTTATACTGCACTTTTTAATAATAAAATAATGTAAAAAAAAAAATAAGTAAAATGTCATATATAATGTATGGCCTAAACATGGATGGCATTGAGGAAAGAGCAATAATTAACAATCATAACAGTTTTTAGATTCATTGAAAGGCACAATTCGAACAATGTGAAGGAAAGTACTGATTAAACTAAGTGAGTTTTCATGGTCTCCATCCAGAAGTACCAGTAAAAAATACTACATAACATTTGTTTTAATCAAAAACATGTAATTGACTGATAACCACATCTTCCCCCCTCCAGTGGCTCACTCGGCTCAGGGTCACTATGCCCACAAGCTTCTGAATGATTTGATGGAGAATTATTCCAGCGCTCTGCGGCCTGTTGAGGACACGGACCTAGCCCTCAACGTCACCTTACAGATCACCCTCTCTCAGATCAAAGACATGGTGGGTAGCTCCCCGGCAAGATCTTCAAATCTAATTATTGAAGTGCTCATTTTATGTATAGTTCTTATTCTTTATTGAACTATTATTTATGATTTTATGGTAGCATATTAATGACCTGTGTCATGTTGTCTTCAAACCAGACAACATGAATGTCCCCAACAATTTTATGTACCTGAAATATCTGTAAAATTATCTCTCCAATATTGTACCTCTGCAGATGTATCCAGCATGCACACCAAGTTCTTATTAAAGACTAAGATATTTTTTAATATTGTTTTGATGGCTAATTTGGGACTATTTTCTGTAATTGCCAAGCTCATTCGTCGTTGCAGCACCAGTCACAATCATACCAACTAGTCACATTGCACCCCTGCTTACTGTAAAAACTACCCAATCATAAGCCCTGAGGATGTGAACTTTGCAAATACTGACACCACAGATACACCGACCATTGAACAAAACATACAAATGTTGAACTTGGATTACATTTTTCCTCTGTTTTCATTATTGCTAAAACAGTGGTCGCCAGAGGATGAGTGAGTTGTAGATGCGGATGTGTATTAATGACAGGCAGACTATTGTGCAGGCAGGGCTTACTGTTACTCAGCTGGCTCAGGTTGCTGTTCAGGTTCATTGCTGTGTCAGCCCACAGTACGGTGAGTTAGCACTTGTGTTATGCACGTGTGTTTGGATTGTGTGCTTGAAGAGAGAAAACAGCCCTTCACCTGAATGTTGCGTCTCTGTGGTGCCTGGTTTTAGTTTGTCATGTTTGAGGAGACTGGAGTGAGGGGCCGGACAACGAATAAGTGTGTGTGTTTGAGTTTGCTATTAGACAAAGCCTTTGTTCTCATTGGTTCGCTTCAGTGAAGCTCTGGCAGCGATACCAAAGCCACCCATACCCACCCCCGTCAGCCACTGCTCTGCTCATCCACCTGATATTGACAGACCGGTCTGGATTTCAGCTGTTGTGATAATCTAAACCCCTCAAAATGCTCATAGAGAGTTAATGAGCAACAGAGAAATAAGGAGACCAAGAGGATCTCTCTTTAAGCTGCTGCATCCATTGTGTGTTTGTAGGTATGTGTGTGTCTGTTCTCATTCTTGTGTGTGCGTGCGTGTGTTAAAGGATGAGAGGAACCAGGTGCTGATTGCCTACCTGTGGATCAGGCAGACGTGGCATGATGCTTACCTGAAGTGGGATAAAGAGGCCTATGACGGACTGGAGGTGATCCACATCCCCAGCAGCCTTGTGTGGAGGCCCGACCTCGTCCTCTATAACAAGTACGCCTGTACGTCACACACACTAATTTTCTGATCTTCCTGTTTCATAAGGCCCTACATTTTTTTCATCGCTATGCATAAACTTTATGTTGTGTTTTGTAGCTTAGTACACCAGTTTTGTATATTATGTCATACATTATATAATATAAGTATAATATTGTAATGAATCTGTATTAAAGTGGCCATAGTCATGTAATATTTGCAATGCACAAACTGTATGTCCATACGTACAGTTTATCAGGAGCTAATGGAGTCCAATACAAAAATCTTGCAATAAATGTATCAGAGATCACAGTGTGGAATCAACTCTGCAAGGCTGCAGTCTGAATATTACACACTTCTGAAATTTTAATTTTTATTGCAGGACTGTTGCATTGGCTGGTATTAGAGCGTAAAGGTGTGTTTAACCTCAGGCGCCTGTCATAGGCAGCCCACTGCTCCCTATGTACAGGGATGGGTCAAATGCAGAGACAAATTTCCCCTGTAGCGGGATAAATATAGTATAATAATAAAATAAAATAACAGTGTCGAAAGAATACAACATACAGTACACACCATTTAACCAAAAATCACACGACCTGATTTGTGTCAACTTTTCCTCCTCCTCCAGAGCTGACGATGACTTCTCAGGGCCGATGGACACCAACGTGAGACTGCGCTACAATGGAGAGATAACCTGGGATGCTCCTGCCATCACCAAGAGCTCCTGTGTGGTGGACGTGTCCTACTTCCCCTTTGACAGCCAGGAATGTAACCTGACTTTTGGTTCATGGACCTACAATGGCAACCAGGTTTGTAGAAAAAGCTGGACACACATTTCTTCTTTCTGTGGTCATGCATACATTTGCTGAATTTGCCTTTCATTGGATAATGTCAGCGGATGGAGCTGGCTGTGTGCCCCTCTACAATCTACTCATCCATTACCTTAATTCCAGGTAGACATCATTATGGGCAGGGACAGTGGGGACCTGTCAGACTTTGTGGAAAATGTGGAGTGGAAGTGCCACGGAATGCCGGCCACCAAGAACGTCATCATGTACGGCTGTTGCTCTGACCCGTACCCAGACATCACCTATACGGTGCTCCTGCAGCGCCGCTCCTCCTTTTACATCTTCAACCTCCTCCTCCCCTGCTTCCTCATCTCCTTCTTGGCTCCGCTGGGTTTCTACCTGCCTGCAGACTCTGGGGAGAAGGTTTCCCTCGGAGTGACTGTTCTTCTGGCTCTCACTGTGTTCCAGCTGATGGTGGCAGAGAGCATGCCTCCGTCTGAGAGTGTGCCACTAATAGGTAAGAGTGTGTTTGTTTCGGATTGTAGTAAAGCAGGTTTGAATTGCGTCTTTATAACCATTATAGCGGCTTTCATTCCTGCCTGTGTAAGTACAGCCTACATACTGTGTACAGTCTATGATACAGCCTCATAGAGCTGCTAGCACGGCTTTATATTTGAGTGAAATCTCCACAGACAACAAAAGAAACAACACCTATGTTTGTAGTTCAAAGAGCAAACTCCTGTCTGCCTTTGTTCCTCTCTTTTACACAGGGAAGTACTATATTGCCACTATGACCATGGTCACCGCCTCCACATCTCTCACCATCTTCATCATGAACATCCACTTCTGTGGTGCAGAGGCCAAACCAGTCCCCCACTGGGCAAAAGTCCTCATCATTGACTACATGTCCAAAATTTTCTTTGTTTATGAGGTGGGCGAGAACTGTGCTTCTGCCTCCTCCTCTTCCTCTTCTTCTTCTTCGTCTTCTCACTTCCCCCAGGAAGACATACATCCCCAGCACCTCAACCCCCATATTCATGCGAATGGTAAACCAGGGAGCCACAGTAGCCGACAGGACAATCAGGGTCACAAATACCCCAGACCTCAGACCCCCAAGCCACAACACCATCCCAGAGTGAAAGCCCAGCACCACATCACCAGAGAAGAGAGCAGCCATTTCTCCAGCTTTGCACCTGGGAAATATGAAGGCTCTAATGGGAAAATCCCAACAGGTGACTGCTGTAAAGAAGACCAGAAGGTTCCCTGCTGCCCTGAAGACAAAAAGCCTCCACCTCAAGGCCCCACTGTGACCTTTGGCCCCTGTGTATTCTGCAGTGGCTTCCCTGGTGTGGACACCAAGCTGGTGCGCAATGTTGAATATATCGCCAACTGTTTCCGAGAGCAGAGGGCCACATGCGCCAAAGGGGCAGAATGGAAGAAGATTGCTAAGGTGATGGACAGATTCTTCATGTGGATCTTCTTTATCATGGTCTTCCTCATGAGCATCCTCATCATCGGCAATGCGCCGTGATGCTTTTTGAAAAATATTTGGCTCAGTGAACTCTTTTTGGTCAAATTAAAAAAGTCAAAGAGACTATTAGGTTGTTTTTTTACAAACAGGTATGTTGAAAATGATATGGACTTTGTGGCTTTTCAATTATTTATAATAACGGTATAGATTACAGTGATGTGAAAATAAACACATTTTACCTTTACTCTTTTGGCCATGTCCATACATCACAGGCTATATTCTTGAATATTAACATGTTGAAACAATAATTTCTTGCACATGATAATTCTGTGTCCTACATAGCAACAATATGTTCTTTGGTCTTCATCTAAAACAAAACAAAAGTGCAGAGAACTTATAATGAAAGGCACATTGTTTGTTATTGTTTTCTGCTGCCTGCAGCTCTGCATGCACTGTGGCTACTTTGCTTGCTTCCTATACAATCTTTACCATCTCTATCTTAAAAGTATGTTGTAAATGTGCAGCTTGGAGCCATCCCCATCAATTGTGGCTTTGATGTACAGGTATTTCATCATCTGACCATTGAATACATGTAAGGGGATCTTCAATTAAGTTAAAATATGACCAGTGGAGACAGCACATGTCTTATTCACAACTGTGAAATCAGACTCCTGGGGCTGAGAGGTCCAGCGTCAGCGCACACTCGGGACACACAGAATCATTTCTCTGGTCAAAATCATCCAGTGAATAGTTAATGAGCAAGCTTTGTTTGTAGCACAGCCAGGACAGAGAGGATGTAAGTTAATATGGATCATCAATTATGTAACACAACGTGCACACTCTGACACCCACCTCTTCCAAAATCCCCATACCGTGAATTTGGAAAGTCAGGTCAAGTTAGGTCAGTGTGTGTCTGTATGTGTATAATTGTGTGTGTGTGTGTGTGGAGAAAAAAACAGGAAGAAATTAAGAACAAAAGGGAAGAAAAGGAAACTGTTGTGGATACCAGAAGTGGAAAGTAAACTGACATAACACATTAACGCATGTTGCATTTATGAACATGATGTATTGCTATAGATTTCATCTTCCTTCCCCGTTCCTATATAGAACGACCCACTACAGTAGATAGGGAATGCAATAAACAGAAGATTCAGAAAGGAGTCAGAATGGTAAAAAAAAAGAAAGAAGAAAGAGAGAAAACAAGATTTTTAGGTAATTATCTTTCACAGATTTTTCCCCACAATACCTTATTTTGTCAGTAGAGGGTGCTCTTTTCCCACATACACTTCCTGTGGTGGATGCCCCAGAGCTTACTGTTTGAAACTGCATGTGGCAAAGTGAGTGCGCGATGTTGAATATATCGCCAACTGTTTCCGAGAGCAGAGGGCCACATGCGCCAAAGGGGCAGAATGGAAGAAGATTGCTAAGGTGATGGACAGATTCTTCATGTGGACCTTGCAAGATCTGCGCCTCAGAATTATTCCCACTGTCTTTTCATCATCTACTCACAAAATTTCACTACTGCGAATTGAAAAAAAAGATGAATATGCTATTTATTAGTCCTCCATGTTATTGCATGACAAGACGGATATTGCTCACTGCAATTCCATCATTGAGTGGGCTAGTGAGTACTATATGCTCGGGCAGCAGGCAACACGTCTGTGGTTGTTTCTGTGGAGTCTCTCCAGTGTGGGCTCTGTTGAGCAGAAATCAAATGGGCGGAGGAATCATTGTTTTTATGCACAGTGATTGTCATGCTGAAGCACAATGTATGTGATATAAGTGAGAATATCTTAAATGATCTCTCTGCTGACTGCTGCATTGGTGTCCATTAGTGCCCAGGGAGCTCCAGGGCCCGCAACAGGCTGTAATCACCATGGGGGATCAGGAGAAGTGTGAATGTAATTTCGACAGGCGTAGCAGCTCAGGCACTGAAAGAAAGACTGCATTATCTATCACCACGTAGATTTAGAAACAGAACGGGAAAATTACTGTGATGTATTTACCACCAGGGTGGAACAGAACCAAGTACTTTACTAAATTACCATTATCAGCAGCATTTTGAAGCACTTGTGGTATTTTATACAATACATATATATATATATATATATATATATATATATATATATGCTCTTAGAGGGCCCATTTTGCATAATGAGTACTTTTACTTTTCATTCTTTGAGTGGGCTACATTTCACGCGTTAGTCTCTATTTTATTACATGGAAGAAATTTCAATTGTTATTTTGGACTCTTTATTGGTCTTTGAAAGCATTTGGACAGAATGACATATTACCGTCATTGCACAAGTATGCAGGTAGTGGTCACTGACTGATTTTAGGGAGCGACATTTGAAGTGTCTGGAACTAAAACTTTGATTTAATTTCACTGTAACATTTAAAATAGGTTTTCATAATCATGCTGCTTTCAATTACATTGTGTGCCTGGTGTACGTTAGCTCATATGGAATAATTGGGGAGTAGAGTAAAGTAGAGGGGTCCTATCCAGCTACCTACACGCCCCTGTGTTTGGATAACATTCCCTTCATGGACGCTAGTTTTGAAACAACAGCTGCAGGCAATCTGCAACAGATTTAGGTTTATGTATAACTGTCCATCATTAATATGTTATTAGCTTTCGTTTGACATAATTTTCTCTGAAACTTTATCAAGCCCACAGTGTACCAGACAGTAAAGGACATCCAGCGTTTTAAGGCGATTAATTCTTTTATCCGTGAAGAACAGGACCTTGAAATGAGCATGCGGTTCGGTTGCCATGATGACGGGAACACGCTAATCCAAAGGGCTCCACAATGTTGACGGACATTCAGAAAGTTTGTTTTTAAAATGGGACAAAAGCATTTTGTTTAAAACAAATTAAGATACTCATAGGAGCAGGGGGGGTTTATGTCCACATCTGTGGAGAGGAGACGATCCTTCGCCTCATAACGGACACAGATTATTCACGGTGAGTATTTATTGGCAGTTAAAAACTTTCCGTTGAGTCAAAGTTAACGGAACAACAAACGGTAGTAAATTTACCGTTAAACGACATGCTTGCATCGGTAAATATGAAGAGTGCAGGACACGTGTACAATACGTTTGTAGGAGAAAAGAGGACACTCTTCTACAAGGTAACGTAACGTGATTTACACCGACACATGTTCTAGTTTACCGCTGTATTATTCATGTTAATACGGTGAGTCATATTTCCTACAAAGATAGCCTAGTAGGCCTACAACCAATATAATTATGCACTAGTAGTGTCTAAATGTACACCATGGCTTTAAATATTTCAGTGTGTATGGCTGACATTTTGCAGTAATATTTATGGCTGGACATATATTCACGAACAATTCATTTAATATCTTAACCCAATCTTCCTATAGATATTACTTAATTAGCCTAGAGTCAAGTGAAAGTCAGTTGTATTTGTATTATCCCAAATTTATTATGAGTGTTAAACTTAATTTCTGTGTATGAGCTTTTTTGCATTTTTTACGCCCTCAAAGTAAAGATGTCATGGTGTGTTTTCAGCTGTCGGAGAGAAAATACATCTCTGAGAGGATGGTGAAAAATAACAATACTGGAGGGCTTCCCAATCGCTCTTCCACGTGCACGACACATAAGCCTGCAAACAGCAAGGACCTGATACCGGTAGATAAACCAGCCGACCACAACATCCCTGCTGTTTCTCCAGAGCTCCAGACCACTGGCCAAGGTCAGCTGGGTTTTCCAGACAGAGTCTACCTGCTGGCGTCAGTCATCTTCCAGAATAACCACCTGGAGAAGCCTGCTGCCCACCGGTTGGTGAATTATGGCAAAGAAAGAGGGCTCCCGTTACCTGAAGTCAAAGATGAGGAGATGCACCGTACAGCGTATGAGCTGGCCTTCAATACACTTAAATGTGAGTGTTGACTGGTAAAGTGACGTTTGTTTTGATTAATTTCAGGTCCATCAAATTGCAAGTAAAGCCCTTTTGATTGGCAAACAAACAGCCATTTGGTATGAATAGCCCTTGGGAAGTTAATAGGTAGAATTGAATATTGATAGATTGATTAAGGGTAAATAGCTGAGAAAAATGCTTAAATGACCAGGGGGCGATTCTGTGTGATGCTACAAATCAATCTGGCCCATTATCTGTTATCTGGGAATAAGGTGGGGTCTGGGAGTCACAGGAGTCTGTAATCACTATGTAAGGGAGGGGAGTGCAGGAAGCTGGCTGGAATTGATTTAAGGCATTCTCAGTGGATGGAGAGGTCAGGTAGCACGAACACCCTCGTAGCCACAAATGATTTTTTTCCCCTCCTTACTATCTAACCACTGAAATTACAAGCCTCAGGCCGACATGTCCCACAAAATAATGCAGATCACCTCAAAATATGCATCATCACGAGAGAAGCCCCAGCGTTGTTGCATTAACCTATATTAGTTTTACAGCTGTAGGTCATAGTACTTACATCACCAGGAGAAATCGACTCGATTGCTGAGGATAATACTAAAAGAGAATTTAGAGATTATATTGCTACAGCGTTGTTTTCATCCATCACCCTTCCTTCTCTATTAAATGATGCCTTTATAAGGATGAGAAGTTTGCTGTTGCTGTTAGTTTGCTCAAGAGCTTGAATTTGAGCTCTGCTTGAGGAAAATGATCTGCTTGAGCTTAGAACAATTACAATATGCTGCATTTCTTTTTTAAAATGTAATACACTTTTTGTTCTGAGTTTATTATAAAGGCAAATATCCTCTATTTTAGTACAGTTTTTCTCTACATGGTCCCACCCTCTACATCTTACAGTGGGTTTCAGCCAAAGTAGTAAGGTACAAAGAGAGAAAACTCAAACAAAGGATGAGCTGAAAATGCCATCGTTGGCTAGTTTACAGGATTATTGGCAGATATCTGGACTGGTTACGTTATCCCTGATCTTTACAGGGACCCTGGTCTAATAGATGAAAAGAAGTAGGAGTTTTCCTGCATCAGTTAAATCAGTTTCCGTTGCTACAGTTGTTGTATTTACATATCAAATTGACAGAAAATCATTGTTACACAAGAAGAGCGGCCCGGTACTGATTTTAAACTTTGGTTATAAACACATGATTGCCGACTTGCCTTGATCAAATACACGTATTTTGGTCACATGTTAGATTCCCTCGGGCTAGCTGTGTGGTGAAATTGGGTGCAGATGAAATGACACAGCCTGGAAGCCAATGTTAATCTCTCCTCTTCCTCCTCCCACGAACAGCCTGACTTTTGGTGCAGAAATTGATCTGCTAGTGACACACATACCCAATGCTTGCAGTCACACACATACACACACACACACACACACACACACACACACACACACACACACACACACACACACACACACACACACAGGACACATTTGTGCACTGTCTTGGAATGACTGATCCAAAATTGAGCTTAGGTCAGTTGTTAACCCAAAGAAGAAGTGCTTCAGCAGCAAAAAATACGCAGAGCAAAATGCCAATGAGCTTTGGTATTGATCTTGTGATTATAACTCTTATCTGCTGAAAACAAAAAAGACACTCAGTCAGTTCTGCATCGGTTGCTGAGGACACCGACTTATCTGTTGCTGTGGTTGACAGTCAATCCTAAAATATGGATTGGGAGTTGGTGATGTTTACCCTTATGCGGATTCGACATTCCATAGACAAAGACAAAGCTGGAGTCAGTCAAATGACAAATATTAGCAGTAAGTCAAGTTGTTTTTGCCTTCCCTTCTCTGCCTCCTCCTCTCTTTTTTTTATTATCTTTTATTTGATTTCTTTGACCTCTCCTGTCTCTTTAAAAAGTCTTTTTTCACATGTGAGTGACTGTCTGATCACTGACCTAGAGACAGTTTATGTCGTCAAGGTTTAATGCCTTGTTGACTTGTCTTGCCTTGTGTTCTCAGTGCTCAGAGTATAGTGCAGATGTTATGCATGTTATGTACATGTATTTTTGTGTGAATTGTAACTGGTAAAAGAGGAGTTGACCTTGTCGCTGGCCATGAGAACCCCCCTCCCCCTCCCTCCCTCCTCTTCCCTCTTTCTTTCTATTGGCTACTCCTCTGAGTATTTCTGCCTCATTGTCCACACTGTTCAGCTGGGCTGCCAAACGTCCTTGTCAGATGACTGTGGCAGCTGTATCCTCTGTGTGCAACTAGAAAGGTTCTTTGGACCACTTTGTTTTAGGCTGGATTTAGAGCATGAAAGAGGGAAAGACAGTCTTTTTTTCGTCCTTGACCACAATCAGAACACCTACTATCTGGATGCTCCAGCAAATATAAAATTGTGCAGGCGCATGATATGTAAGATAGATTTGCCATTTAGCTCAAAGGTAATTGCATAACTTATGGCATGTACCTTTCTTTGGCCCGTCCTCCGTTAGATCAATGTGGAATCGGGTGCACTGATGCGAAACATTGTGAGACAAAGAACTGGTTGAAGAGAAGTGGAGCCTGCATTCGGGTGTGGCTCTTTCACTCAGGATTTGTTTGACTACAGTCACCATCAGTCACTGCTCATTGTGTAACACCTGGATGAAAGCCACTGAACACACAAGCTCAACACAGGTCCTGCGATCACTAGTGCCTCCTGCTGGTGTCGGATTTATTTCTTGTTAGACTGATTTTATGTCATTTTTTTCATTTGCACCTCTAGAGTCAGGAGTTTGTATTTAAGAATTTCTGTCTTGTCCCACCAGTAAAACCCAGGCACTGTCTGCTGTGCAAAGATGTCTATTGTAAGTGATTTATAGCAGAATTTCCTCTGTGTTTTACTCAACCTGCTGTGTGTGATTTATAGCATGCGCAAGACTATGACCTCTACAGAGTTAACCATGATGGCTCCCTCAGGGGTCTGTGCTACTCTGTGTGCACTGAGTGGTTATCTCCTCGGGGCTTATCAGGCCTTCTGCAGTAATGGCCACCATTGTAAACCCCATTGACCTGTATCTGCTATAAATTAGACCACTGCTGATGATATGCTTTGTTTCTTCAATTAAAGATAAGCTCTATTACGTGCAAACTTTTACTTTGTGTGTGTGTAACTGCATGCACATGTGTGTGTTTGTCCTGCCCTGCATGCTGTCCAGCATGTACAGATTGGCATGATTTGAGATGTTGTGATAAGTTAACAGCAGTGTGTGCGGTTTCCATGGTGTCTCAGGCGAGCTGGGCTTACCTCCTATTTGCAGCTTAAGAGGTGTGCCTGTCAGGAATAAGAAGTACCTGAGAAGGCAACAATGTGTGTAGTAGACACATACTGCACAAGCACTTTACTATTGAAACCCTGGGTTCTCACACTTACACAAACCTCATTTCCACCTTTTAATTGCTTATCTGCAGCAGCACAATGGACCTTTCTCCAAACTCACTAGAAACACAACCATCTCGGGGAAATTATCATTTTGCCCATTTCCAGTGCGTAATGAGCAAACACTGTACCTGCAGAGTGGCTTTGGAAGCAGCTGTTGTTTTATCCTGATATGATAAACTGGATAGTGTTGCCGGCTCTCTTATCTCCCACATATTGAAGAGGAGAGCCCACTTTTCCCAGATTGGAATGTGAAGGATACGCCTGCATGTGCTTTTATGTGTATTTCAGAGAGAAAGCATCCCGCAGGCTAGCGGAACAGTTGCTGCAATCATGATATGACAGCCATGACATGGGGATGAAAATACTCTATAAAGCACACATACTGTAGATATTGGATCGGCAGCTCTCACCACTTTAAAGGTCATAGTTACCTTTTTCAGACTACTGTCCAGATTTGATTAAGAAGGTCAAGCAAAGTTTAATTGTATAGCCTGCAAACTTAACAGATGATAGACCCAATTTAAGTTTTGTAATTCATCCTGTCTGTTATAATATAAAAGTGTAACACAATGTCCATCATGTCACCACTACGTAATTTGCAAGTAACCTGTGTTGAATAAAATCAAGAAGATAACAATTCATACAAACACTGTCTAGTCTGGTATGAAACACATGTGTGCCTGCTATTTGGTTTCACTGTTTAGATGTAGCCTGTTTATTACTTAAGATGTCATTAATGCCATTAGTCCTTGGATTACACACACCCACTCACCACAGACACAATAAATGAAAGAAATGAGGCAAATGAAGAATCAGATTAACTCTAATTAAGCACCAAATAAGCGTTTAATCACGGGAAATTAAACCCTCCATCGAATTGAATTATCTTTTCAAATTAAATCACGATCATTTGGGGTGCCTCTAGGAGCCTCTCTTGCTCTTTGTCTTTATCTCTTTTCCCCTCATGTTCTCATCATTAGATATGGATTTGTCCTTAGTAGCATATATCTTACCAGCTAATGGATATTAGTCATTTCGTGTGGTTCTATTTCGCTCCAAATGAAAGGGCCTTGACTGGTTTCTAGGGATAATTAGACCTTGATATAAAGATGGCACTAATATGCATCGTTATTACTCAGACACATAATTGGTAATGGGAATCCACATTACCACATTTCCATCCTTCTACCTAACCTTGTTTTACCTCTCTACCACTTCATATTTCTGCACAGATCAAGAGCTGCTGGAGGACATTATGATTGACAGCTACTTTTACCTCACTCAGCCAATGGTAAGTGAGTTAAATAGGAGCAGTATTCTTTAATACAGCAGTAGTTTAAGAGAAGTCAACATGTCTTTTTCCCTTGGTGTGTATTGGCATTATATGACAGAGAGGCACATCTGTTACTGTCAACTTGCTGCTGAAAATCAAGATCCTTTTGATGCTGAGAATAGCTTGACTTGAATTTTGGAGTTTACCGTGCTATTACTTTGTTTATAGCGTTGTTTACCTCGTGCTGTTCTTCTAAACTCTTTGGCTCACAATCCTCTACTCAGTGCTCCAATATTCATGTCCTGCTGTTCGTATTCCACATAGGCTGCTCTTTGTTCTGTTCTCTAGACCTCTAATCAGTAACAGTTGTATTGATGTACTACACTAATGCTCTCCTGTCGTCAATTCACAAAGCACCTTGTGTCTTTCACATTCCCTACCTTTATGATTGACAGTCGCTCCCTTTGTAACACATCTAAAAGGTACTATGAAGCCAGGCCGTGTCTTTTCCGTTATTCATTTTCTCAAGCAAAACTCCCCATTAATTAGTGATGAAATAAACAACCCCAGTGTGTTTGGATGATGTGGCGTCTGAGTGTATCCTGCACAGTGTGGCCTACAGAACCAGTGTGCTGAAAGTTATCAGTGATATTTGGGCTGCGTAGTCATAAAAGAAAGATTTTCAGCACAGCTGTGTACCTGCGGCTGTAGATGAACTCTCTGCTACTTAAATGAAGAGGTATCCTCTGGAGGAGATTGGCATGTACTTTTGCCCTACTTTTATTACTCCACATAAAAGAAGCTGCAGAAAACGGAGGGTGTTCGAGCTGCTTCTCTTAACAGTCTGGATGGTGATAAAACATGCACAGCGCTCGTCATAGCTGATCGAGAATGAAAATTAGTGAAAGTTATGAAAGCAGGAGGTGGTGAATGTCAGAAAAGTGAGCTGTCATGGAGTGTAAAGATTGTAGACAACCAATGTCTACTTCAGAGGACGCAAACATAATACAGACACAATAATAATGTGTGTTTGAAGCAAACCCCCCGCCCCCCCACCCCCTCCAACCGACACAGACATATACACACACACACACACACACACACATACACTGTAGCCTTGTGAAACATGGCCCTGGGTGAAATGAATGGTTCTCCCTATGTGTTGGTGGCAGGTCGTTACTCTGCATCCGGACAATAAAGCCCAGACACAATGAGACAGTCTTTAGAGCTCACTCTTACCTCATTTTACACTGCTGGCATCTATAAAGTTCAACCTTGATGGAGAGAATAGGTGGCCTAGAAAAGGGGGGTACATGTGGGTATTGGGGAAAAAATGAGAATAAACTTATAGAGAGGCTTGCATGCCTGAGGTGGATTTGACTAGACTAGAGAGAGAAAATGAAGCCTAAATCCTGCGGAGGATGGAAATGAATGACGTTATGGATGTGAAGCAAGCATATTAGGTACATTGTGACATTTAACATGAAATAGCCCCGAGCTCCGTGAAAAAGGAGCATTTGGAAGTTCCACTACATCTAGAATCTTCTTGAAAATAGTTTACAGAATAGTTTGCTCTGTGTAATAATCAACATGGTATTAACTGAGAATAAATCAATAGAACATATTAATGTTGTGTATTCTATAAAACTCATCTGATGTTTGTCTCATATTCCTTAGTTTAATTTAACTATTGCATTTAGCGTCAAACCAGCATTGTTTTCAAATCCAGTTTATTAGCTCATAAACTGGATTTGCATCTGACTACACAGCAGGCATGTTTACTGTAGGTCTATTTCCCACCATGGCTGTTGCCAGGGAACTTAGTGACTGGGAATTTCCCCACACCCAAGGGTTTACCTTGGTAAAGGGCAAGTGGAACTTGAGGTAGAGAAGACGAGATCGAGAGGAAAAGTCGAGTGCTGCAACCTGTTTCTGAGACTGACCTTTTCAAAAACTGAAATCAAAAGCCTATGGAATGAATAATAAGCGCCGGCTAATTTCCTAGCTGCAGAATGAACCCTGGTAGCGTTCTAGCTTCTCGGCCCATTAGCCCAGTAGTGAGGATGTTGCAAGCTGTTGCTGCGGTGGAACACCATCTGTCACTAATGCGGCTGGTGCCCTCCCACTCTCAGGGACAGAAAGGTGGGGAGTGAAAAAGAGAGAGAGATAGAGGATAGAGAACTGAATGGATAGAGATAATTGTAGAGGAGGAGAGATAGAGACATAACTCTTCTTCCTATGTTTAATTAAGGCAGCAGCGGGGTCATGGCAGGACATCCTTGAGCTACTGTATGTGTGTGTGTGTGTGTGTGTGTGTGGATAATTTAGTCTTGAATATGCAAATAAATTGTATCACTGCACTGCACCCCTCATTAGGTTATCAAAACAGTGCAATCGACAGTGCACTGTAACCAAATGTCAGGTTGTGTTGGTTTCATGTACATTCTGGATTTGTAGATGCAGCTGATGTTTGAGGCATTCACTAATTAAAAGCTTGTGTCTCAGTCATGTTAATCAAAATTATACATTTGTCTGTTAGGCATGTGGCCTCTCCTTGTTCCTCCTTTTTCCTTGTTCTCTTGTTAAAACAGAAGTCACCAATTAACTGTACTTTTTGTCCTCGTGCTCTAGCCAGATGATCAGATGAGCCTCTTTGCCGTCATGCTCTATGACTTCCAGGACAGAAAGTTCCTCCCACGGGAACGCCATGGGGAGGAGGAGATCGTACAGGAAGTTAAAGATGTGGAGAGCTACTTCCTCAGGTAAGGAATGAAAAAAACAACGAGAATAAGGAAAAAAGGAGTGGATTCATAAAAGGGAATACAAATTGAATATAGAAGAGATAAAACATTCTTTTGTTGAACGTAGGTTTAAAACCAAGCTGGCAGCATCTCTGGCCCGCTGCAGAATCAAACACGATCTCTTGTCCATTGAGCATATCCTGCCAGAGAGTGTAAAGAGGAAGCAGCAGAGATCAAGCAGTCTTCCACTTTACGCATGGGTCAACACACTGAAGAGCAGGTTAGCTGAGCACACACACGCAAACACACACACCACTCACTCACCTACTCAGAAGCAGATGACGTGCACCTGTACATGCACACCTGTACATGCACACCTGTACATAAACCTAGGAATGCACTGTAAGCAAATGTAGAGTGCAAGCATCTACACACAGACCTTTAACTTGGTGTGCAGCCCAATGTTTTATAGACTAGGTGCCTTGCTGACATCCAATTAAACCACTGAACAGTGTGTGTGTGTGTGTGCGTGTGTGTGTGCTAATGCATGTTCTTGCAGGCGCCCTGACAGGCTGATTCAGTTAGGTGTAAATCCTGCTTCTGTGGACAGATTCAATCAGCAACAACCCTCAGCAAGCTCTAGGACTGTAAAGGTCACCTGTTGGGACTAGTAGTTTGCGTGTGTGTGCGTGCGGTTGTGTGTATCTCCATAGATTTTACAGCTCGTTTTACTTCTAAAGTCTTTTTAAAAGGCCACATAGAAATTGTACACACGATTATTATCTATGATGACACTCTTCCTCTTTATCCCACCTCTTACCTTCTTCCCTCCTTCATACCTTATCTGGGGCTTTCCCTAATCTGCTCTCCTCTCTCCTCTCCTCTAGTGTCGATGACGTCCAAAGTGTCCTGAAGAGTGCGGGCTTTTCGCAGGTGAAATCGATTGGGGAGCTGGAGGGCCAGACCTTCTGCCAGGATCCCCACTGTGGGGATATACTGGTATTCCCTGCTCAGCTGAAAGCTCAGCTGTACAGCACCAAGCTGCTTAGCGACCACACACTCATCATACAGGTACAAGCTTCACAGAGAGAGGAGGTTTCTGACGAGAGCATCCTCCTCCCCCACAGACTTTAATATGGTTGTTGAAATCTGTTCTGCGCCATCAATCCTCTCTGATATTTATGATTTCACTTCGGTAATGGACTTGCTCAAATTGATTATAAGACTGAGTTCCCTTATGCCAACTAAGATTAGTTTTCCCAGATACAAATATTTCACATCAGTTCTTCTCATCCAGTCATACGTCACTTTGAGCCATAAAGAATCCTTCCGTCTGGGAGGGGGAGAGCGGCTTAATCATTTCATTTCTACTCCATTAAAGTCAAGCTGCCATGCAAACTGTAAGCAGCACAGCACCACAACACAATTAAATTGGATTTTGCAGCCAAATTCAATCAAATATTCAACACCACTGCCTAATTAATCATCTCTGCCTCTTTCCATTTTATGACTCTCCATCACAGTTTCTCTCCCCTAGTTTCTCTCTTTTCAAATGGCGTTGTTCCTCTCCACCCTGGTTTGTCTTTCCTGACAAACCCTGTAATCTGGATATCAACTAGAGAAACTTAAGCCAGCCCAGTGGTTCCACAGGAATACGTCCGGCACTGTTTCCAGAGGGGACCCCATTGATTGAAGGACATCTTTCTTGTAATCTGACTGCACTGTTATTCTTCCTCTCTTTTCCTCCTTTGCTTCCTCTCCTCCTCTTACCTCCCTTCCGTACCTGCTTGCAACAGCTGCTCCAAACTCCCTCTCCTCTCTCATCTATTCCCATCTCAATTCTATTTACCAGTATCCTACAGTGCAACTTTCCCTCCTATTTTCTCTTATCTTAGTTTGTGTCTCATCAGTTTGCAGAGTGTTGCTGCTCTGCAGAAACCTGTATCTAGAAATGTCTTTTATTAAAGTCTGTCTCTTTATCGAACTGATGCTTTCACTAAATGTGTCTGCAGGATAAATCTTGCAGCCTGGGCCCAAATGCAGTGTGCGCCCTGCTACCAGAGGAAGGAGATGTTCTTATGTTGGGCTGCTTCTCTGGCCTCACCGTGTCCCACACTGCCTCCCTGATTGCAGAGAAACACAAAGCCAACAGCAACGTTAAGCCCACAGTCTACGTTTGTGTCAGTGACCGTACAAACGCTCAGAGGGAGGAGCTGCAGCAGGCTGTAGCTGCCATGGGCTCCAAGAGTAGGCATAAGATGGATGTGTTCATGAGGGCAGTATCTGTTTGTGTCTTTGTATGCGAGACAAAAGAGATTGAATCAGAGGAAACGTGGTCTATTTACTGTCTTTGTTTTAATGACACCATAAGCGATGTTTGTCTTCATCCATCTTTTACTTCAATGAAAGAGAGAATGAGAAACTGAATATTGCCTGTTGGCGTTGTCACACTGATCCACTATTTTTTCAAACTGACTGCTCTTTTTTAGTAAATAGCTTTTTTAGTAAGAATACCTATTTCGGTGACGTGAAGTGATACAATTTGATCACAGTTTTCAGTGAGAAGATTTGGGGTAATCAGGCAGAGAGTATTGGTTGAAAAATTGTCAGTTGCTGTTGTCAGCAAATTCGTAAAGACTTATATCCAGGCAGTGCACTTAAAAGCAAATTGTCTGCTGAGATTCTGAATTGTATGTAAATACAGTATTGCATGCTGATAGTGGCTGCCTGCTCAGCTAGTCATGAGGGAAACAGTTAAGTACATGTAAGAAAGCTGACATTTCAATAATTGCAAAAGATGCCTTCAGGCAGTGTATTTTCCCACAAAGAAATATAACAGGAAATTGTGAGTAGTGTTTAATCATTGAGCAAATGTATATTTGTGATTATTCAGGGTATCATTGAACTCTATGTGCGTTCTGCTCAGATGTGAAGCTGATACCAGAGGTCTTCCAGTCTTTGGACAACAGAGACAAGCGACTCCAGAAGTTGCGTGTCATCCTGTTGACCCCCAGGTGTTCCGTGTCTGCGGTCAGCAATCCGGTCGAATTCATACTGCAAGAGAATGGAGGTAAATAGCCATCTATGAGGATTTCAGAAATACATGTTATAATCTAGTGTACATTAAGCCTCAGAACAGACATTCTCAAAACTCCTCAGAGTTCTCAATTTTCTCTGCCCATCCGTGTAGTTAGAAAATGTTTCATGTGCACGCGCACAGTTGCTTATATAAAACCCATACCCACCTGTAAACAGATCCGCTAATAAAACAGAGATTCTGCTCTTTTTCTCAGACACAGACCTGCTGCTGGACTTATCCCAGAGCTCCATAGCCCAGAGCAAACTGGAAGCTCTGGCAGCCCAGCAGAGGAAGGATATCAATCATGCCTTGAAGTGTGAGTGTTGAACCACCTGCTCTCATGCTGACAAGCACACACACGCACACTCAGACACACACAGCATATGAGCTCAGGCGTGAGCGCGTAGCCTCCCTCACCTCTCTGACACAATGAACCTTATACTTCCTAAATATCTGATCTCGTGTGCCATTAGGCTGAAGCCTGTGGTATCGTGATCGTCTGAGTGTTAATTAGGAATGCTAATGTTCCTCTCCGTCGGACATCCACAGTCTCCTGCAGTATTCCTTGCATAGTTTAAGCAAGTGATTAGCAACTCTCCTTTGTAATGCATATATTCTATAGAACTGAATATGACAGAGGGACCATAGACTGAATATGAGGGCCCTACCGTGTCAAGTTACATCATATTCTGTACTGTGCAGGTGTCACGGTTCTATTCTGAAGTCAATGCCTTCCTGCACAGACGTATTGTTAGCCTCGGTCTGTCTTGTATTGTTCAGTGCTTTTCTTTCTGTGTTGGTCTGGGTCATGTCCATCGAGCTGTTGGAGTCTTTCTGTTAGGGGCAATGAAAACCAGCTCCTCTAATCACACTGCCATCCATCAGCCCTCTTCTACATTTTTGCCGGTGTAGATACTTTCTAATAGGACTGTTCATTAATGGTGGGTGTGTATCGAGTATTTTACCTTGGTTGAGTCGATAGTCCCATTTCACATAAGCATGCGCATAGACAGTGCTCACACAGACGGATACTAACATACCTCCATAGCCCTTAATGTCCCAGCTGTGAGCTGTGTGTGTGTTGTAGAACAAGACATCTGAATGACAAATGTTACTGCCTCAGTCCTCTTCTTCTTCAGTTCCGCTTCCTTGAAGCAATAATTCACATTTGTTTGGAGCTGATTTGCCACATCGGAGAAGGTTTTATTTGTTATCAGCTTGGCGTTAATTGTTTCTGTCTGGCTATAATTAGTGGGAAAGAAAGAAATCAAAGCTCAAATGAAGGAAATCAAACGGCCGATAGCTTCACAAATCTACAAGCCAGCAGCAGTTGAATGAAATGAGCTATGTATTTACGCAAACGGTATTAAAGAATTAATATTCAAGGACCCATTTCTTCAAAGGGAATGCTTGATGAGGAGGACGACTCAGTTTGAATAATCACATTTAATTGTCATAAAACGAGAGGAAGAAACTTTTGACTGAATGTGTGTGTGCTTGTCTGACTTCCTGCGTTAATTGAACATGAAATTAGTTTATTGTTTAAGATTGTGGCCCTATGTCAATAAATCAGCCTAATGTCGTGGTATTATGTGTCACATATTATTTCAGATGTATTTACATTTAAAAGGGTAATATGATAATATCATGAAATATACTTGTAACACACAGAGGTGGAGTATTAATATTTACGTAATTGTTGATACAATGCACACATTTCTTTGTATAGTCTCTAAGGTTTTGGCAGTGGTGTACTCTACCTGTTCATCATACAAAGAGGAGAATGAGGAGGTGGTGAGCAGAGCGCTGGAGCAAGCCAAGGCCCGCTCAGAGCAGGAGGGGGAACCAAAACGAGCAAACTTCAGGTCAGCCTCAGGTCTCTGTATCGCAGTACCCTAGTGCACCTGCTGCATCTGTATCTGTCATTGTCTTTCTTCGTCTGTTTGCCTCGCTGTCTGCCAGCCTGCTCGGTTGTTTGTCTGTTTCCCTACAGACAGGCTTATGTCAAAGTTTCAGCACGCCTCAGGTAGAAACTGGAGGAGAAAATATCATCAAAGGTGCCCTTTAATGCCTCAAAATGCTGTGGAAAAGGGCAGGAAAAAAACATTTTTTGGACAGCTTCCCTGCTCGTAGACATTCTGTATAGTTTTTTGTTTGTTTGTGTGTGTGTGGTTTGAAGAACTTAAGACTTGAATTCAACCATTCATGTAGCCCTGAATGTACCAAGACTGTCTCCTTCATGAATTTAGCTGGCCGTGCTGCTGATGCCTCAGGCTACCATAAATACAGCACAAGTATAGTTATTGGTATTGATCACACTGGCTTTAATTATTACGTAACTCGTGGACTTGCATTCATTTACTTACTTAACTAGCATGGCTCATGTTTTCTGTTTCTGTATATGTGTGTTTCATCTAGGCTTAGTCCATCTCCGTTCAGCATTCCTGACCATGCCGAGGGTCCAATGAAAACACACCCCTTCTTCATGCTGGAGCCCTCAGAACAGAGGAATGGCTGCTTCCTAGCTGTCCTCAGCAGAGAGGTTAGCATCACTTAAACAGAAACCTCAGAGCAAAGCAGTGCTTCACCCTCAAAGAACTTTGTTAGTTAGGGTAATTCTAGTTTATTTCATAGTTTATTACATAGTTTATTACATAGTATACATACTATAACATTTTATATGACATTTTTATGGCATGTTGTGACTTTTTATGATATACTTTTACGATGATTTTTTATGATTTTTTATCATTTTATCATGATTTTATGACATACTATACTATGACTTTTTTACAAGATTTTTGCGACACATTCTCTAATGACAGTGTGTATGAGTTTAAAGGGCATACTATACTATGACTTTATTATGTTTTATGACATACTGTACAATGACCTTTTGTGATGTTTTGATGACTTTAATTGGCATACTACACACGATACATACTATACATTTACTTTTTTATGACATACCGTTTTAAATTACATTTTTATGGCATACTATTGGCCCACTATGACATTTTGTATGCCTTTTTCTGGCATACTATACTATGACTTGTTCAGTTTGACATACTATATAATTACTTTTTTATGACATACAGTACTATAGGCTTTCTATTACAATTTAATTTCTTTCTATGACGTTCCATACAGTCTTTTTTTCAATGACTTTTTTGGCTTACTATGAATTTTGAATGACATTATTTTTTAAACATACCTTTTGAAATGCATTTTATTACTTTGATCAACTACGCTATGACTTCTTTTCTGACTTTTTCTGATATACTGTAGCATGACTTTTTATGACTTTCTTATGACATACAATACTGTGACCCTTTTCTGACTCTCTTATTGAATACAACACTTTTTAATTATATTTTTTGACATATTCTACTATGACTCTTTTTACGTTTGGATGACATACTATACTATAGTAGTTTTTTTTAAACATACTATACGTTGACATTGACATTTTTATGAAATACTATTCCATTAATTTTTCATGACATTTTCATGGAGTACTAGACTTCATTTTAACATTTTTTACGACATACTGTACTATAATGTTTGTATGCAAAACTTTTTTTCGGCATACTATACTATGATTTTTTTCATGCCATTTTTATGGCATAATATTTAACAATGGCTCACTAATCACATGCTTTATGACATACTTTACAATGACTTTTCTGTTTCAAATTTTTTTATTACATTTTTATGGCATACCTTACGATGGCTTTTTATGACATACAATAGTATTACTTTTTATGAGGTTTTTAAAGACATTCTATGTCATGAAATGTTTTTTTTGTGACTTTTTTATGGCATAATATAGTTTGACTTTTTGTGACATTTTAATGGTATGCTATGCTGTCGTATACGTCTCAGGAATGCTTTGAGGGATTAGCTTCAAATTTGGCGTATGTTTGTCTTCTTCGTGTAGAAACAGAGCCTGTTGAATATCTTTTTTTTGTATTGGTAGAAGGGGGAAGGTGAGTTGGGAACCGGGCTACTCAAGTTGAGGTTAGGTGAAAATGAGCTGTCACAGCCACTTGATCAAACGTGTGAGACAGAAAAAAGTAGAGGAGAATTAAGGTCAGCCTGCTAGAAGAAATGAGAATGTTGGGTCACAGATGCAGGTGTCTGGTCCGAGTCTAATCTGCAACCAGAAAGAGACTGTGAGATGAAGGAGCAGAAAATGACGGGGTGAGTGGGAATGAATTCTGAAATGGGAAAAAATAAGATGTAGAAATAGAAATCAAGTAAGTCAGAATGAGATGAAAGGATGAAAGGAGTGAAAGGGTCGATATTACGAGCTGCAGTTCGAGCAGCAGGAGAGAGAAGAGAGTCTTGGATTTCATTACACAAAAGAAACAACAAGTAGGAATTCACTTTTTTGTGTGTATGAAGACATTTTTGAATTACACTTGGAAAATTGGACACTGTAGAAGTTTCTTTGAAGTGATTTGAGTTTATTTTAGCAATGTGTGTTTCTGAATGGAGCGCTCTGTTAGATTTTCAGAATTTTTTTATGAACGTTAGTAATTGAGAAGCGCTCTGTCTTACTCTATTGTGTTATCTAGACACAGGCTTTCATTGCTTCAGTGAGAGACTCTCCGTTTTCCTATTTTAACCAAACTCACACCCCTTTATTGTTATTTTTTTGTGGTAGTTAAGTGATGCAGTAAGACCGTTACAGTAGGGAAGCCCAACTCATCAGCAAGTCTCATCAAGTCTGTGCAGCCAGGCTTCCCCACATCCTCATAATCCACATAGCCGAGTTTACGACATACTCCCCGGCATTATGAAATCTGCTCTTATGCTTATGATTCCAGTGCAGGGATATTAAGCCATTTTACCCCCACCGGGTGTGGCGGAGTGCTCTGGTGTCTGTTCCTTTCTGGCCATCCATCATGTTTTATACCTCCGCAGATAGGAATGAAAAGATAATCAAGGCGCTGTAATGGGGCCTCATACAGGATTTTTTTTCTCCCCACCTCTAATAAACTCAGCTAATCAAAAGTTATTGTGGCACTCCGAAAAGCACCATAAAAATAGCAATTATATAAGTGTTTGAATGCTGTCTGGCTTAAATCAACTGTCATAGTGGCCCCCAGTAAAGCTCTTTATGAGAAAACCATACGGAAACAGCTGGGAACAATAAAGACAGTCAAGTAATGTGTTTCTGGCCTAATTTCTAGAGGAAGCAGAGTACATCACAGGTGGACTTTTCTCTTAAAGTCCCCAACCTCTGAAGGAAGAATTGGACAGTAGTAATATGGGATTCATACCACTAGACTTTTCACTTTGATTTTGTTTTGCTGATTGTTTCGGGTGTGTTTCATCGATTTTGGTGTAGTCAAGATATAATGGATGTCGTGATTTTGGACGTAAGTATTGAAACAGAATGGGTTCAGCTCCAGCGTGCTGTGGCAGCTAAATTTGGCAAAGTGTAGAAGGAAATGAGAGATTTACAGAGTATGGCATAGTTGGTTAGGTCTGATGAAGAGGAAGCGAGATTTACAGGGGTGAGTGGGAAGAAAGGGTAGCAAAGGATAGTGTCTGTTGAATAATTCAGCGCCCCCTGTCTGTATGAGTTAGCATCAATGAAGTCCACCAAAGACTGCATTACAGTGGCGCTTCTAAAGCCTGTTTACCTGTGTGCACAGAGTGCATCAACACCAAATAAGGACATGTACCTGTGCTAAATGTGCTTTCACACATTACAGTATGACCACATACCTGTATACAGAGAATTACAAACAAATTGTACAAACACATACATATTTGCATTAAAGTACAAGCAAGCACTTAGAAGCAAAATACGCACATAAACCCACACAGGCTGCATGCCCCGTAGTGTACACTGTGCTTGTGAATAATTCAGGTGTTGAGGAGAGCAGTGGGCTGCTGTGAGGGCTGTTGCTGAGACAGCAGGTCAGCAGCAAGGACATGTTGGCGCTCTCCTCATCTTTTCTTTTACCAATATTACATTTGGTGGACAGCACAGACCATTCATTCTTTTTTTTTTTTTGGTATGGTAATCAGTATAGTAAACAAATGTGTTTTTTTTTTTAAAGTATATCCATGACATTTTTTCACTCTAAAAAATGATTCGGGGTCTTGTCTTACAAAATACAAGCTATTGCTTTGTCACTTCTCAACAGCCTGAGCCAGTCGTCAAAGAGGCACCAAATGAAGTGCTTATCAGAGCAAATGCCAAAGGCATACTGGACAGGATCGGCTCCAACCAGCTAATCACCAAAGAGCAGCATAGACACACCAACAGGACGACAAAAACAACCCATGGTCGCACCTCTCAGCCCCATCTCTCTGTCAGTGTTCATTCCAAAAACCAAGAGACCACGGGCAGCTACAGTACTACTCTGTGTGGACATCAGGAATTTACTAACAGGCGGCAGTCATCAGAAGGTGTGCATGAATACTTTAGCCCTATATCTCAAGTCAGTCTTATGTAGTAACAGGAACATACAGCTGATTAAAAGGCATTTTGGTAATTTTGCTTAGTTGCTATCTTGATGAGAGTTAGAGTTTTTGCAGGATTGATAGCACTCTCATGAAGCTACAGACAGCTAAGCAAAGCTGACCATCTCCTGTCTGTAGATTCATGTCTACACAAATATAGGAGGTTTCAATCCTCTCATTTATTCGGGCAAGATACTAATAAGCATATGTCCTTCCAAAATGTCCAACTTAAGTTTTTGGCGAAGAGGAATAGCAAGAACTATTTTAGTTTGAACAGAAGTAGTTCATGTAATGTCTTGTACTGTTATTCCTCATCCTCTTTTCTCAATGTGTTCTGTACTTTGGTCCAAAAATATGGTCCTCTCCCTTCCGACCACCATCTCATTGCTTTTGTCCTTCAGGAAAAGCCAAAGAAATGCGCCTGCAGCCCTCAAAGAACACAGTGTCCAGCTCCTTCTCTTCCTCCAAATCAGAAAGCAGCGCACCCAAGAAAAGCATCACCGCTGTGTTAAACACAACTCCCCGTCCTCCTGCTACCCCGCTGGCCCGTCCCCGCAGAGCTCATCAAGAGGTGCTGAAGCCTGTGGTGCTCGTCCTGCCTCCTGTTCACTTTCCCGACTTCTTCCCACCTCAGCTCAGCCAAACAGGATGCAGCCCAAGCTTACACTACAAGTGGAGGCCCCCAGCTCAAAGTGTACACCTCTCCCGCTCCAGTGGGGGTCTCTCCAAGGATGCTTTGGTCAAATCCCGGCCCCTGTTTTGAGCTCACCAACACCAATACACATATAAAACAAGTTAACTTGTTGTGCCAAATGCTTACTTAAATAAAGCCAGTAGTATCTAAATCTAACACCAACATATATGCAATGTTTTTGATCTGCCAAATTACATAGAGCATGTGGAAAAAGTCACCTTAGCCATTATTACTGGTCTTCATGTGTCACAAAGAGCGGCCTTGCCACGGTCAGAATCGAATCAACTGCATTGGGGCTGGGCCACTTCATGATAAATACCTACTGCATTACATTCCACTAACCTGCAAAATTAAAAGAAATTTAAGAAGCTACTCTTTTTTTCTTTTGGTAATGCATTTATTGTCACAACCGATTACATTTACATGGTGTAGAGATGAGTGAAGAACAGAACTGAAATGAGTTACAGTATCATTCTTGTTTGTTTTGTTTTTGAGTGTGTGTGTGTGTGTGTTTGTCTGTTTTTTTTTCTCTCATTTAGATCAGACTGCATTCACAGTTCATGTGGAGTGCAGGTTGTAGATATGAGCCATAGGAGCAGTGTAAAGGTTTTATTAGCAGTGACAGCAGACTTTTTTTTTTTTTTTTTTTTTCTCTATGTGCGTATTTGTGTGTGTGTGTGTGTGTGTGGGGGGGGAGTAGACTTGTTGGTTTACTGAAGAAAAGGAAATATAGTTAACCTTTACTGTATGGCACAGATTTGATGTTTTCCACGCTGTCCAAGAAGGGTGAACACTATTATGTACCACTGCTCATATAGCCTTGAGTGCCTAACATCTGCCAGACGAAGCCTGGGATTGGAATTTCTTGCTAACACATAAATCTTGGGTGTATGCATAAAGATTCCTGAGGAAATTGTAAAGTTTGAACATAGGCAATGTAACATTCTTGAGCTTTTAAACTCTGTTTTTCTATAATCTATGCAAAAAAAGTACAATCTTAACAAATTAAAAGTTTCAAAATACATTAAAAACGGTTATCTTTCTTTTGCTGATCTAAAAATCTGACTGACATCCTAAATTGTGATTCTGTAAATGGGGTAGAGAGTAACATTCTATTCAGGTATGGGTCAGAAATAGGCCAGATTTTTTTTGTGCCAGTGTAAATGCAGTAATGGTTATGTTGAAATGACTTGTGCTAAGAGCATTTATTCTTTGTGTGTTCACCACTCTTCTGACTGAGACCCCTATCAACATAAAACACATCTCATCACGAAAACATGCAAAACAAAGCCCATTGTCCCACACTCCATCTCTCCCTCATATCTACAAGTTTTGTGCCCTACATTCTCTCTTCCTACATACAATCATTTACATCCACGTTATCATTACAATCACTTCATTCATCCTCAATAGAGATGTTAAGTTTGAGCTCGTTTCAAGTCTGAGACACATCGAAGTGATGCCATATTGGTGGGGGAGAGCATGTTAGCAGGGCCTTGTCTTTCTGGTCTTTTCTTATTCACCTGTTCAAATCCCACGACAGCAAGTCGACACCTTTTCTGTCGTCTCAGGCGTCCAGTCCAGGTGCTCTTACTGTGCTGATGATGTTTTTTACAGGAAGGGACAGAGCATGAAAGAAAATGGAGTAAACCAGTGAGTGGTTCCATAAACCACACTGTTAACAGAAATTGTATCTTTTTATTCTGGGTTATCCTGAATTCTGTCTGTAGAGTGTTTGATCAAGTAATCAATCCAGCCCAGAAATCCACATACAGTGAAGGCCAATGGAGCCTGCAGGTGGTTTCCACTCGGACACAGCGGCGTTCAAAAATCAACCAGTGCTACCAGACTTTCCATTCCGCCTCATGAAAGCCATGAGTTTTCTTGTCATTTTTTTTTTTTTTTTTTATCATCAGGCCTACTGGAGAATCGCTCTTCTTCTCTTCATCTGCGGTGGTGTTTGTTAACATATATGTACATCGTCGGTTACCATGGCTGGTACTGATTAGGTGTTGCTGTGGCGATAGTGTGTGAGTGGCGTCCAGCAGCGGCTGGGGAGGGTGCTGTGGTCACTCGTGGCGGTCATTGCTGGGGGAGTTCAGACGGCTGTTTCTTGGGTTTCAGAGTGTCTATGAGAGACAGGACTCCACGTTTCACACTGGTGGTCACCCGGCGGGTCACCGTGTCCGCAGAGGGTGAGGAAGAGGAGCCAGCACGTTGGGAGGGTGGCCGTGCCACCAGACACTTCTGGTACCGCAGCTGAGAAAGAGGAGGATATGGTTTAATTCATCATTTGATTTTGGGGTTAAAATAAAATAAAATATATGCAAGATGTGTTTTACCTGCAGTTTTTAGGTAATTTAATAAAGGAATAGTTTAATAACAAATTTAGGATATTCGCTTATTTGCTGTTTTAGTAGTATACTATAGTAAATAGTATAGTATGTAGAAGAAAGTTCATAGAAAGACATGCAATAAATAGTATATCAAAAAAGTCATTGTATAATATGTCAACAAAATTCATAAAAAAGTCATGAAAAAGGTTTAAAAAAGCCACAGTATAGTCAGTATATTGAAAAAAAACTCCTAATAAGTAATCATATAGTATATGTCAAAAAAGTTTTTAAAAAGTCATAGTATAGTATGTCGAAAAGGGTGAAAAACATCATAATATATTATGTCAAAAAAAGTCATGGTATAATATGTCAACAAAGGTCATAAAAAAGTCTTAGTATACTAGGTGGAAAAAAATCATATAAAAGTCACAGTGAACAATGTCGGAAAAAGACAAAAAAGGCATAGGGTATTGAGTCCAAATAAGGCATGAACATGTCATGTTATGGTATGACGAAAAAAGTCATAAAAATGTCATAATACAGTTTATTGAACAATGGCAGAAAAAAGTCATACTATAGTATGTTGAAAAAGGGTAAAAAACATCACAATATAATATGTCAAAATAGTCATACCATAGCATATCAATAAAAGGCATAGTATAGTATGCTTTTTTGACATACTATGAGTTTTTTTTACTTTTTTCGAAAATACTATAAAAATGAATACAAAATTATAGTATTTAAGGATGTGCAGTGTTGAAGTTGGTGTAATTTGGACACACTACACGTTTATTACTAATACACTTTAAATAAAGACAAACGATAGTGCTCTGTGCAGCAGTGGAGGTGGAGTTTCAGGGCTCGGCAGACTTAGTCGAGCATGTCCTCCGCAGCACACTTTTAAAGGCCACAGCTCATTGACTGCATTTCACATTTGCTGCTGAATATATTTTAGTTAATACCAAACTCTTGGAGTCAACGAGCGATGAGCGGTTCTCAACAACACTACACTATTCCTTTAAATACAAAACCTTTGAATATTCATTTCATAATTGTGACAATACATCATCATCATTTGATAACAAAAGAAATTTGATCTTACCACGCATGCTGCCTGCACAGCCTCAGACACATTGCCTGCATTGGGGTCGCACCAGAACGCATGACAGTGGAAATGCTGGCTCCCAGTGTCCATAACGAAGGCAAACGAGTGCACATCTCGTCCCACGCCCATGAAGGACAAGAAACGAACTCGACACTCCACCAAAACCTCTTCTTCCTCTTCCTGCACACACAGCCAAGAGGAGAATTAAATATGTGTTAAACTCGGCTCTGTTAGATCTTTCTCTCTAATCTACGAGCATCTTGAATTCATCTGTTACTCCTGAGGACAGCAACAAAAGGTCCCTTGCCTTTTCTTTGATGACAGCCAGAGTGGTGTCAGCAATACTCAGTGTGACAGGAGTCCAGTCCTCTTTGCCTGTGGAGGACACCAGACTTTCTATGGCTCCATTTATGACGTCCATACCTGAGGACAAAACACAGGAGAGCCTGAACAGTGAGACAAGTGCATGATGTTATGACATGTGCTTTTTAGCATTAGTTCAGATTTACCTATGGGGCGAGACACAGATGTCATACCCAGATACAGCACATGGAACTTCTGCACCAACTCAGTCTTTGGCAAAGGAAACTCTGCAGATAAAGAAAACACGCACACACACGCGCACACACACACACACACACACACACACACACGCATACACGCATACACATTAAAATGCACACACAGACCACCCGCAGGGAATTTTATCAGACGACAACATCTAACGCAAAGCTCCAAAAGTAAAGTCCACACATGATAATTGGCTTGAACTTAGGATACAAACAAACACTTGTGAATATTTTAATATTTTAGTGTGCTGCTGACATGATTAGGGCATGAAAAATATTTTCACACACGAGCATGAAGAATTTCAGATTTTTCTCTATGAAAACCCAGCTGTGCCTGTTTACACTGGCCTGTAGGCAGAAAGGATGGAGAGGACACACCATGCAATTAGCAGTGTAAGCTTGAGATGACCTCTGACATGGTAAATGCCAAGCGCTAAAAGTGGTTAAATGCTTAACTGCACAGTTTAATGATTGTTAATCATCGAATGTGCTAATAGACAAAATTATAACAATTCTGCACAATACTAAAAAGGGCACAAGCATCCCCGTCAAAATGGTTACATTAATTATTAACTAATTGTTGTATTGCTATAGTCAACATGATTTTGAAAAAGCAGGCCCTATTGCAACATGTAATTGATCATCATTGAGTCATAATGAAATGGTCATTATTATTGAAGGATACATTTACTTCAGTGGGTAAAGAAGACATTTATTTATACAATTAACATCTGTAATGTAAATATATATATGTAACTATATACGTATGTAACTGTTATATGAAAACTTTGATTTAGAGTTTAATGTGCTGACCATGTGCTGCATTGTTTCTGGTTTAAGTGCGGCCAGGAACTTTTGTCTGCACTCATTAACACAAAATCCCCATAATGTTTTGAATGCAATGTCGAATATCAAAAGACCAGATGCAAAAATGTATCACACAGGTGTATTACAAATTGCACCTATAAATGCCACTATGTGTATAATTTGAAAATTGTGAGATGAGAGCACAGAACAATCTGTGAATAATTTGAAAGATGCTATAATCATTTAAAAAATGTACATAATGACTTAAAATAGTAACCGAAGAGCAGGCTGAGAAGCAGTGTTTTGATGACCCGTCTGTCACCACACCCAACCAACAGTGATGTCACGGTGTCCTGAAGGACACCTGCACTTCACCTCAGCAAGGTGAGAAGTTAAACCACTGGAGGTCAGTTAAGTTAAACTTTAAAAAGAGATAAACCAGCCAACATATGACATTTCCCCCCTTTTTTTGTGAGTTTTATCCCATTTTGCACAATCCACGTCTTAATTATTGAGTACAGAGATTAACAATTCATCATGTGATCGCTATGGACTGAATGAGGGAAATCAATCAGGGAAAATGGCTTTCACCTGGATTCCCCTCATCAGTGTACTCCACGAAAAAGTTAGAGGCCCTAATATCTCAGTCATTCAGTATGAACTGCTAAAGCTCTGAATACAGTCGTTAAATAAATGATGACTAAGGGGTTATCGTACATTAATTCCATATTTAAAGTCGAGCTCAGACAGGCCAGATCCGATGAGGACAGCACGGCCATTATGCTGGTGTTGGCGCTCATCCCAAATCATTGGGCGCTAATCTCCTAAAATGTGTCCCAACAGGGGATCGTGCACACTCCCAGCCACCCTGAAGAGATCTAATCCAGGCGAGAACAAGAACTGTTTTCCATCCACTGGCTTAGCAGTGAATGGACCTCTAGAGCTCACTGCATGGTCTATCCACTGTAAGGACGCCTCTCACTGGGTACCAACTGGTTTTTCAGTAAAAAAACGAATAATTCAAGCAAGTAATAGCTTTAAAATATGTGAGGGATGTTTCACCAATAAGTTCTTTGATCCTGTGGTTGAGATGAGCGCCGTGGAGCACCAGGCCTCGCCTGAAAAAAACACTAATTGGATTTTAATGAGGTCGACTTCCTCTGTAAGTGAAGAGCCGTATTAGTTCTTTTATATTCTGATGCTGGAGCTCCTTTCCCTCACGCTCAGCAGATTCATACCCCAGCTGAAGATACAGCAGAGGATGAATTGTGCTGGCGCTTTTTTTCTTTCTTTCTTCCAATAATTACTTGGGACTGAGAGGACCTCAGCGGAGGGACTTCGCAAAATAGGAAATGGTGAATAGAATTAGCGCTGGGAGGATAAAGCTCAGCGATTGTGGAGCGAGGAGTTGTTCTGAAGTCAGCATTATCTGTGTGTAATTGAACCAAACACCGCTACCTTTTTTGTTAGCAAATGTTCACAGTCGCTCCTGCGGCGATAAGGTAATTTTTAAGAAAACACATATGGTTCTAGATGTGGAGAATTGCTGTAATGTGAGACAAGAAACCACGGCAGGGAAGATAGCACATGGCTGACAAATCCAATTCTCTCATGAGGGAACTACAAAAGAACAAGATTCAAAGAAAAAGATTTATGCGCATGTGTGTGTGTGTGTGTATACCTTGTAGGGGTACATCGGAGCCGGTCTGGGAGGAGCTGCCAGCTGCAGCTTTGGCACTTTTCCTTTCAGCCATAATCTAGAGAGGAAAGGAGGAGAAAGAAAGAGACAAGAGGGTAAGAAAAAAAAGAGAAGAGGAAAGCGATCAGAATGGGAATTGGGAAGACAGAAAGAAAGATATGGTTGATATAAAATAAGCATAAAAAAAAGATTTTTCAGCAAAGAGTTAATAACACAATTTGAATGATAAGACTGGTGAAATTCTATAATTTTGCTGTCAACAACTCCAATGAAAAGTCCAAACCCAACAGTGCATTAGTATTTTTCTCAATACCTTTCCAACATTAATATATTTGCAAATCTTTAAAAAAGGGTCACATGTACTTGAATTTTTGCAAAAGGGTAATTTCCTCAAACAGCTTTAAGTTGCTGTAGTTGTTAGCTAATGTTACTCAAACAGGAGTAAACTGTGTATTTATTGGGGACTATTTTCAGCCATGGATTTGGTGCGCTAGTCACAGAGTTAGTGGATTGAAACAGAGTTAACTACTGTACAGTGCGGGTCTTAATCGTAATGAAGGAACATGTCTCCCAGTGCAGCGGTGTAGCTTACTGATGTGTTTTCAATAGTTGTTGGACAATCATGGAGCTTGATAGCACAGAGGAATAAGCTGTTTCTGGCTTTTACTTCACAGGTAATACTTGTTCGAATATCAATTCATTGTCCGTTTTTGTTCTTGTGGAATTTGATGACAATAACAAAAATATTAAATATTAACAGCCTTATCCTTTAAAACCCTCCCGTACAAATGGCATATCCAAATTCACCCTTCTAAAAAAAAAGTCTTCTTTCTCTCTTTTCTTTGCTTCTGCTCTTCTGCTGCAGTGCACACACTCTTTAAAAAGTGTTGAATAGTCTGCATGGCCCCTGCACTGAGCTGCTGCACTCTTCCTGCTACAGATACTTGATTAATTGTAGGTGTCATTAATCAAAGTCTATGGTGAGTCTGCAATTCTGCTCACAGGGGAACATGCAAGAAGAAGACATGCACATATACACACTCTCTCTCTCACTCTCACACGCACACACACACACACACACACAAAGGAAACCCGCTCAGCGCACTGCACAGCTGCAAGACTCAGGTCACCAAGTTTCTCCGCTGCAGTAAAGAGAAAACTACCACTGTGTTTAAAATAGGCTGTGTGAAGAGAAAGAAGAGAGACATAGAAGACGCGACGATTCACACTCTTCCCTCAATTCAGGGTCGCAGATAAGATCAAATAAATGGGAAAAACCCCATTTCTATGGGTCAATAGCCTCTAAGGTAACAGATCTGTCGTTCCAGGTAGATTCCTCCTTTACAAGGTCACACTGGTCTGATGACAGAAGGCTATGTGAGCCATATCACACCGCATTGGTGCATCACGCATATCCAAAGAGTTCTTTCTACAAGAAACCACAAGACTGATATGTCAATTATTATTTAACATCACATAATATTGCTATGTATGTCATATGCTTCTAAATCTTAACTTTAATCCATTTTTCCAAACTGTGCATGTACATCTTTCAAATTTATTTCTAAATTCTATTCATGTGTGTATGATTTTAATAAATATAAAAATGTTTGTCGCTGTGACTCATGCAGTGTTCATTTCATATCTCTTGTTCAGATTTGACTTAGCTGTTTGACTAGTTACGTCTTTCCATTTCTTTCTCTTTTTTACAACATTTTTATGACATACTGTACTGTGCCTTTTATTTCATACCGTCTTATACAATGCTTTATGGCTTACTATACTGTGACTTTTCTGTAAGACAAAATATACTAAAATAAACTTTTTATGATTCTTGAGACATACTATACTATGAATCAATCTGTGGATCTGCAAATTCTTTTGAATCTGCAATCGTTTTTTGAGGCGACCAGCGCTCACCTTGATGTTTGCTTTGCTTGCCTTTATGGTATTATGGTGCCCAGTACAGTGAGCACAGTGCACATGTGGGAGGAGATGTGCAGGTAGGAGGTTCATTCAGATGAAGCAGTGTTTGGTGAGTTGTTGTTATTTCGGTGGAAATTGGGTCTTAGACTTGGTGCTGAGAAAAGACGTTTCACAACGTGGAACATCCAGCTGGTGCCAATCTGAAAAGATTTTTTCCTGCATCCAAATTCTAGTTGCTGAAAAACCAAAGCAGCGTGTAGCTATTCAGTGTATTAACATTAAGTGGATAAAACCTTCCACATACAATATGTGTTGAAGAAGTGTTATGAGATGGAAACAAATGTCATTAAGGCAAATTTACAAAGAGATAGAATTGTGTGACGGGCCTGAAAAGGCAGTGAAAGTATTTATCATGTTTTGTATTTTCTTAACCCTAAATCCAATAATCCACTGTGCATGATGTCTAACTTTTGATGGATTAGGGTTATGTGATCATCAATGCGTAAAAACGGGAAATATCTTGTTATCATATTGAATTGACCAGGTATTTGTTATAGAAAGAGATATGCACACACACACACACTCACATACTCACACACACACACATGCTGAAAACAGTTTTTCTTGCTCTGTAACCTAAATCTTATCTCCTCTCCTCGCTATAAAGGCTCTTAAAATGTCCCTCTATCTTTCTCCTCAGCTCTTACTTCTCCAGTAAAAGATAACAGAAATTTTGCTGCAAAGGTGTTATGCACTCCTGGCTATTAGTTTCTTTTTTTTGGAACATGTAGGAGTATAGCATCTAAGTCAGGCTACAATCTTAAAAAGTACCTGTGGATAACTGCAACAGCAGAGAAGAGGATTTATTCTCTCTTCAGTAGTCACCCTGATTAAAGCTCGATAGCTTGTTTCAGAGCAGCAGACAAGCTCGTTCATGCAGAGTCGGCAACGGTAATGACACCCACCTTAGAGCAGATTTCGTGGAGACTTGTCGCGATGGCTGCGGCAGGAGTATCACATCGGAACACGTGGCACTTCAGCACTCGCGTGTTCTTGTCTCTCGCCACGTAGGCAAAGTCCCTGAAACACGGACAGAAGACACTTAAGAAACAAAGAAACATGATGGACCTCTGCAGCAGATTTACCAAACATACGGCTTCCTTAAAGGGGCAGCAAGTAAGAATCTCTGTTGTATGATCATAACAATAATAATAATAATAATAATACTACAGATGATTCAGTAATTATACCTCACCAGGTGGGTGACCATCCAGCTTTTAATCTTATTTTCCATTTAACTTTCAATTAATTATGCAATTTTCTTGAGAAGAAAATCAAGAAAGAAGAAAGCAGGTTGCTTCCCCCATAATAAGTGAAATAATGTATTGTAGCATGTAGCATGAGGTAACTGTTGTGTTTATATGTGTCTGATAAGGGAGAGAACAATTGAGGGATATTTAGGGTTAAGAAAATACAAAACATGATAAATACTTTCACTGCCTTTTCAGGCCCATCACACAATTCTATCTCTTTGTAAATTTGCCTTAATGACATTTGTTTCCATCTCATAACACTTCTTCAACACATATTGTATGTGGAAGGTTTTATCCACTTAATGTTAATACACTGAATAGCTACACGCTGCTTTGGTTTTTCAGCAACTAGAGTATAGTTTTCCTCTCAAAGCCTGCTGGTAATACTCCTCTGAGAGTCATCTTTGGACATTGTTTCGTATTAAGATTAAACACATGTTCCCAGAGGGCGTCTATCTTAGGGCCAATATGAGCGGATATGATTGCCAATTTGTATTTTACATTCCCTTCAGCATTTTTCTTGAGTTTGTAGGGTTCATTTTTGGCATAATCAGCAAATTGAAACATCCGATATCTTAATATATTACTGTCCATTTTAAAATTCCTCCCAGGTTTTGAGCCCACATTTTTTCTCATTCCCCTCATCAGAACATTTCTACTGGAGTGGGATTTACATATTTTCTTCATTCTGTGTTGTCAGGACTCCTTGCAAACATAAAAAAAGTCCTTCCTTTGATATGTCCTCTATTTGGAAACTGAAACTTTTCATCCCCCCTCTGCATCTGTTAAGAGTTGTCAGCTGTTCAACAATGGAATAGAGGCCAAGCAAGATGAATTGCAAGAAATGAAAACACATAATTATCATTACCCCATTTTGCATCATAATATACTGTATTTACCTATTTCTTGTTGGCGCTCTGCTCTAATTAGCGCCCTCATTTTATGTGAAAATGTTGCATCGATATTTGTGTCATTTACAGGCTACCATAAGCTCTGCTGCTGTTGTCGTAGTTCCGGTGCTGGACACTGGTCATGGTCTAATGAATGAATAGATTACTTAAAGCAACTTTAACATGTGGCATGTTGTGTGCTGTTGCTCAGTAAACAACAGGTTTCTCTGTCTGTAGTCATTCCTCAACTGAAAACTGTGGATGCCATTTTTTGGGCAACTGACACACACACACACACACACACACACACACACACACACACACACACACACACACCCACACACAGGCATACAGTTATACTTTTAAACAGGAAGGATGATGTGTGTCCCAGTGCCACATGGAAGGAAAATTAGAGTATGAGGGTGAGACTGAGAGAGGAAGCTCCACGGGGAAAGAAACTTTCTGCAGAAAGTGGATGGGAGATGAAACACAGATACGTGTGGGAGATACACACACACACACACACACACACACACACGCACACGCACACGCACACACACACACACACACACGCACACACAAGATGAAAGATAGACACATTTCTTCCTAATTAACAGGTGAGACAAGCTGCAGAACAAAAAGGTAGGAGGATGTGTTTCTAGTCAGGACCTTAATGATTGAATAACAGAAGCAGACTGAAAGAGGGGAGTGGGGACATGCAGTGAAGCCAACTGGATGGTAGTGTGACCAGCTTCATGCACACGCACACACACACACAGACACGCACATATACACGCACAGTGCACACTCCAAAATAACCTTAGCCGCAAACAGAAATATGGCATTCATCACAGTGGGCTCTTTGTGTTTATGAGTCTATTATCCGGACTGTCTCTTCAGCTTAATTGTGTGCTCACACACTTTGGGTCGATAATCATCTGCACCTGCAGCCAGAAAGAAAAGTGCAATGTGATGTGTGAGCATGTGTGTGTGTGTATGCATCCAGTGCGCTTCGTTCAGGGACATTTAAACAGCGTGTCACCAATGCAGCAGGAGTGGCCTTGCCTCACTACAAATGGTTCTTTTATGACTTCTGGACCCCCTCTCGGGGATCACAATGCTATAAAACATCATGCAACCCTTAATAGGAAAGAACCCGGGGCTCGCTGATGATTTAACACCAGTGATTTAGACCTTTAGTTGTTGCTGCTGCACTCCTGTACAGAGCAACAGTGACTCTGGATGAAACAAAGCCACTGATTTGATGTCTGTGATGACAGAGTTGATTGCACAAGGAGGGGTGGGAGTTTGGCACGATGCTTTCTGAACACTAAAGAGAGACGCGATCACAGTCGAAAAACACCACAAAGAGCAGTTACCTTTCTCTGGGTCCCGGGAAGCAGAAGGGAGGTGGGGGAAAAAAGCAAGGAGGAAGAAAGGAGAGTGGTGAAGGAAATAGTAATGAAAGAATGAATGAGTTACAGAAATAAAGTGGGGCGTTGAATTAAGAGATAGGAAAAATGGCAGGATTGTGTTATGCCAAAAGATGAAGAGAGAGCAGAAGGTGGAATAGAAAAAGCAAGAGGAAAGAAAACAAGAGAAACGTTAATACACACGACATACGGAGTCAGAAACAGTCACGATGCTCTTTCACCTCAATTACAGTCTTCCCGTGAGATGTGTGTTTTATGTTGTGTGTGTGTGAGTGTGTGTGTGTGTGTGTAGCTGGAGCTCAGGTCTGTGTACATTTCATTTCAGTGTCTTAAAGCATTCCTCTACATTATGACACAGCACACCTTTTCTATTAGATTTGCCAACAGAGCTAGCACACACACGCACACACACACGCACACACACACGCACACACCTTGTTGCTCCTGCAGCTTTCCCTCCCCCTACTCCCCATTTCCCTGAACCTCTTCCTCCTCTCAATCTCTCTTTCATCTTCCCCTTTGCATTCACTCTTTAATCTTCCTCTCCTCTCTCTCTCTCTCTCTCTCTCATCCACGCACACTCTTTTCTTTCTACAACAGGAGAAGCCCAAAAAAGAACAAAGATGCAACACAAAATGATTCATATCAACAGTGTAAGTCATCACAGCCGCTCTCTTCCATATCATAGTCTGTGACGCTCCATTATCAGCAACACTAGAAAGGAGGCACAAGCTGAATAAAGAACAGAGGGTTAATTCAAACATTGACTGCCTTTGATTCTTTGATGATCCACTTAGTAGAAGCCGTGTGTGTGTGTGTGTGTGTGTGTGTGTGTCTGCATCTATTAAAATGCATCTCTTTCTCTCTGTGTCTGAATTTCATTCATGATTTTCTTTGCTCCAAGTCCATTTACTTGCCATTCTACTTCCTCCTGCTTCATTTATAACTCAGACATGCCTTCTTCACTGTCAGTCACTTTGGTGAAATTGGATTTCAGTGTTGAAATTCTGAATGGTCCAAAATCTGCTCTCCACATACCCCAATGTGCCCCTTTCTTTCTGTATTTTTCACAACTATTTGCATACGAGTGTCAGGCTGAAAGTGTTGCGAATGCTTTATTACTGATGGACAAACCACATCACACCTGATTCAAACCCAAGACAGACTCCTACCTCCCCAAAACACCGATAGTTTTCTCATGATCACACTGATTTGACTTTTATAGCACAAGACTGAGAACGAGCAACATCTGGAAATGTATCTTTTTCTGTCTGTTTTGGCCTTTGCACCTGAAAACTGAACATTTCAAAATCAAGGCATTGAGATTTTGGAATACAATCACATAAGCTTGTTGATTAAAGTCAAGGACAAAGCAGTAACATTACAAAGCCATCTTTCGAACTGATCACACATTTAAAACGTTAATAGAGCTAATCACACAAAACAGGTGTCGTCATTAAGTCAAGTCGTTTACTTTGTCGGATGACTTTTAAGCCAGTATAACCCTGTATAGGTAATGATGCATGAAAGAGGGGACAGAATCTGCAGAACCCCACACCTGAGAGATTTTTAACCAACCAAACTCAGTATAATTTACAGTATTTACAAAAAAAACGAACACATTTTATTTTTTATCTACAAAAGAGACAGATTTTGTATTAAAATAATTTGAATCAGCCTTCTGAAACCCGATTTGAACATGACCTCAGTGCCCTGCCTCTACATGTTGGCTGTAATGCAATCTTTTATAGCTCGCCGACCAAATTAAGAAAAAGAACAACATTAGACTTGTTGGCTTCCTGTGGCATTGAGGAGCAGTTATCCCTGACCTCAGTTAATGGAGAGGGTGACACATGGGAGAGAGGGAAAGGCAGCCAATCAACTCACAAAAGAAGATGAATGACACATAGACCTCAGAGATGTACGTAGAGAGAGTTTTTGGGAGGAAAGTGAGGGGGTAGGACAGGAGTGTTAAAGGCAGGAGGCCAGAAAGCCAAAATGAAAAGGTGGAAGTGTAGCAGAGAGGTGCGAGACTCACTAGGGGCTGGATTGCGGAGGAAGAGATTGAGAGTAAAAAGAGAGGTAAAAAGAGGTATGACATGAAAGGTATGAAAGCAGAGAGATGAGTTAAAGCAATACTCCCACCACTCGGGCTCTTTCTCTCCCTCTCTGTGCTCCACATATATCCAGAGCTGTATAAAGGATGACTGACTCACTGCTACCAATCTCTCCTTGATCCTGATGGCTGTGAGGCAGGCTCGCCTGGAGATGATGCGTACAACTCGGAGAGTAAATGAGGTCACGGCTGCGGATGTATGGGGAACTGGGTTTGAGAAAAGTTGCACAGAACCGTCAGCAGCTCTGACATCACCCAACCATCAGTAGTACAAACAGCACTGTGTGTGCGAGTAACATTAGCATATGTACACTTGACGGAAAATCCCACCCTTACAAAATTAAACATGGTTTTCAGTTAGATATTAAATGCCTGATGCATTCCTCCATTTCAGTAATGAATTTAGATCCCCTATACCTGAAATTATTTTACGATTCGTTAAATTGCACAAAAGCCACCAAATACGGTGTAGGGATATCAGAAGCCGCTGACAAATGCTGATGACAAACGTAAGAAGAAAAAAATCTATAATGCAAAATGCTGTAGAGCACTGATTCTGAGGTTAGTTGTAAAAATGATGTATTTGCCTCCATTATAGTGGGTTTCTGCATGAAATAACACTATTAATTGTTAGTGTAAATGCAAGAAAGCTGCAACCAAAGCCGGATTTTTCCCACTCATGTTTGAGATGACGGTCAATGAGCTGTGGCGAAGAGCTGAAGTTAGGGAGCGACTCAAAAGTGCATGCATTCCCCCCCATGCCAAATCTCTACACTGTCTTCTGTCAAATAAAGGCCTAAGAAATCATCTTAAAAAAAACAACAACAATAAACTGATCATATTTCCATTTCCATTACACTGCTGTTAATAAACTCGGTTTACACTTAGTTTTTGTTTTGATGGTGGGGTTCAAATACAAATCGTGTTTGATTATTTTATTAATTAGGGTACATTGGGTAAAATATCTAGGAGCTTCACGGTACACTCCACACGATGCCACATTGTTTACTTTACAGTTATCCATAAAAATAAGAAAATTACAACAATAAACAACTAAATGGGCCCAGGAATGGAGGTGCATTAGCAATAACTGCTCGGTATTGAGTGTTGATGGTTTTGCAATTTATTTTTCTTCTTTTTTGTCTTTTTTTCCCTTTTAATTTAATTTTTTACCATAAACAACACCATTTGCAAATGTACTGCTCGTTTATTTAGACTATTTTCATTTTTAATACTGTATAATTAAAATGCAAGTAGTTTTGACACACTTTATACACAATGTCTTGGCTATGCATCTTCAGGTGCTAAAATGGTGTAATAAAACGAAAGTGTCCACAACTGCTGCTGTAATAGAGGCTTTTTAAGAGGCAGTGGAAACAACACACATGTAAGTAGTCCCCAGCCTGCTCTGCTGTACTTTCCCCTGCTCTGTGGCTTCCAGTATCGCTCAGTAGAAACTCTACAAACCATCTGTCACACGCACACACAAACACGCAGAGCGCCGTGGCATCACACACACTTCAATTATCAAACAGCTTTACAGAGTGTCTGGGTAGTGCAGGGCACTATGCTAATGCACTTACATATGCTAATTACACGGCCAAATGCTGATTAGAAATGTCTGAGGAGGAAGTTCTTGTGACTCTCCTGTCAGCAGACAGTAGACGGGGAGGCAGAGAGGGCCAGGTGTGTGTGTGTGTGGGGGGGGGGGGTAAATATGCTCTACTTATTGATTGCAACTGAACTGGTAACTGTATGATTACTGACAGTGTTGTGACTTTGGCTTCAGTCCAAAGTGGATGTGGATCAGATCCAGTTTTACAGTGAGATGCAACGCTGAACTGTGACAGGTGAGAGCAACGCTAGAGTGGAGACAACAGCTGGATGGTGATTTAGAGGAAAGCCCTTTCATCACACTGTAAAGAGAATATAAAAAAAAACACCTCACAGGTATATTCAAATGTAGCAGCTGTTTCCCTCCAATTATTCTCTTTTAAAAGTTTTTTTTCTTCTTGTAACACTTGCATGAGACTCTTCTTTTATAAGCTTACTTAACAACCTGATGCAGCGTGAAATCGTCTTCAGTAAAACAAAGCACTCTGCAATTTCCTTAAAAGGAATACAATTATCAGTGCAAGGCAATATGAACACAAAGAGCCTAAATATTATTCAAGAGAATTATAAGAAAAAGATAAATCCACCCTAAAGCTCTCTTTGTAAGTGGTAAAAAAGTGAGGGAACAGTTCTGCTGTCACAGCCGTCAAATGCATTAATATTTCCATTAATTCAAATTCTGTTGATGGACCTTTTTAATCTATTTTGCTGGAGAATTCTCAATTTCCATCTGTTCAAACTCAATAAACATTGCAGTACACCGCTGTGAGGACACTGTCTTTCAAACATTGGACCCCTGAGTGCTGATAATTGTGTTTGCAGTAAACAGTGTATGTGGCTCATGACTGAAGTTAATTGTAGTTGATTGTAATGGAATGTAGAATAGGGTGATAAAACCCAGTAAGAAGAGATGCAAAGTAGACACTTTAAAGAGCCTATTAATCGGACCGTACAGAGCTGCTGACAGATATTGGCTTAGTTTTACAGTACTGCAATATTGATGCAATGTTAGTGTCCACTAACTGGTATTTACAATCGTGTCATTGGCATGCTTAGATATCCAATATTCTAATTAGAGCCGAACTAATACATCGTTATCAATATTTGAGAAAGAAACATATATTGGCAAGTATTATATATATCAGTTGACATTTTGGGAAATATAACACCTCTTCTCTTGCTGAGAGTTTGATGAGACATACGTTTAAGCTTCGAGTAGGAG